TTCACGTCAGCTTGAGTGATGGAGATGTTTTGATTTTCAGCACCTGTAACCCTATTACTCACTTTCAGTCTGAAGAACCACATCAGAAATGACATCAGTGTAAAGGCTTCACGTTATCAGGCAAAACAAAGCCGCCATTGTGGTGGTGAGCGAGAGACGCTGGTGGTTGCTGTTCAGTGTTGTGTCTGCTCAATTGTATTTCCCTCCTGATCAGTTAAGATAATTCTATTCAAGCGACATCAAGTTACATTAGAGCCTGTCTATTCTTTGGCCTGACATACTGACCTACACAGACGCCAAAAATATGACTAAATCTTCATTTGAATGGGAAGCTTCTTGTTATTTTTGTGCTTATATTACGTTTTTACAGACATAATACTAATGACATAAGTACACTCAGATACTGTCATTCATGTCTTTTCTGGACATTTACTCATTTCCGTATCACGTAAGCATGAGTAGCACCTTTTAAATGCTGCACCTCTCTTATTGTCTATGAATTGATCATACATTAACTAAACAAAAACCAGTGTAATCATAATAATCAAAACATTCACTAATCCCATTTCTATCTGTTAAATTATCTGGCAGTACACAAGGCTGTAATCTTTAATTGCAAGACTATTTGTTAAGCACAGCTCACTGATGAAAAACATTGATAATGTGTCCTAAATGCAATTTATTTACACGTTACACTTTAATTAGATGATTAATTAGACATGCAGAGTTTGTATTTAACATTCTGGAAAGATGTTGCCTTGAAGGATTAAAATAAATATCTGCACTAAAAATAGATATTTGATATTTTAATGTAATATGGCATAAATGTATATTCGATAGATAGCCTGTTTTTTCAATGTTATGCTTTTATTTTATTTTATTTAAGTGTGTGGCACTTTTAATAAAGCAACATAATGGATACACAATAGATGTTCCCAATGCTCAGGCTAAAGCCTAAATAAAGTGGAAACAATAAAATACTTAAACACTTGATAAATATAATACATTTTCTAATGCATTGGGGTTAAAAAGATACAGATGACACTTTCCTCGGCTCACTGTTGCTCACTTGGGAGACAATGCACAAAAGGAGTCAGTGGGAGCCCCCAAATCACCCTAATAACCCAGCGTGGATTGGAATCTGTAATCGTAAACCGCTAATATAGCAACAGGTGAACACGAAGCACAGGTTTAAGATGGCTGAAGAGTCTGCAGGAGTAGGAGTTAACTTATAAAGAGGGGCATGTTTTGAAGTGAAATGGGGGTTTTCCACTGCTAGATGTGAGGAAAATGCCCTTCACTGACTGTGAGAGAGGCTTAATGTTAGGAGCGAAACGGATCCAAGCGTAGCAGAGTCAGAAGCAGCTGATCAATAAAACAAAAAGCAAAACAATTAAGCACCGGGGGGCACACACTTTTAGGAATAAATGGAGAGAAAAGGAAGAAGATTTGTGTACGCCAACCGAGAAGTTAGCATCCCAAGGACTCCTTCAACAAAAAGCCAATGGGATGTTTCGAATGGATTTCAGTATATTGCAGAAAATAAGATCTTTGGCAAACATACCTTTAACGCGTTTTGTACAGCCGGATAATCTCCAGGCGCTGTACAAAAGCTGCCCACTGCTCCTGGTGCTAGGATGGGTTAAATGCAGAGACCACATTTCACTGTGTGTGCTGTGTGCATGTATGTGTGACCGTTAAAGAGGGTTTCATCCTCCAATTCAACACCACTTTATGATTGTTGAAGCATAAATGCAATCGCCAGAAAGCTAACGCCAGGCTATAAAGGAACTACAGCACGGTCACATGACTTCACCTCACCGCCGCTGAGCTAAAGGTGGCTAATGTTCAGCATGATGACGTTTAGTCGTCTCATTTAGACACTTGTTGTCAACCGGTGTTTTTAAGACACAAAGAAGTTTCCGACATTCACCAGTGGGATATTTACGGATGTGTTTTGTGTCGTAGAAAGAAAACGTGAATTCAAGTGAATAGCCAGATAAACGCTCAAAAAACAGTTGACTTCAAGACAAGCGAAAGTGGTAAAATACCAATTTATTTCCGGGATTAAGGATTTATTTCTGCACCACTCTATCTCCTTACTTCCCAAGCTTGGTGATGCGTTATAGTGCCCTGGGGAAAGATAGTAAAGAGTGTAAATCCCAGGAGAGAGATAAATAGATGGAAAGGTCGAGAAGCTGATAGACACTCACTTGCACGCACATACACACACACACACACATCCCCATAATTAGCATGCTAGCAGGCATTTAAATGTCCCACACAAAGGCTCACTGTTGCTCACTTGGGAGACAATGCACAAAAGGAGTCAGTGGGAGCCCCCAAATCACCCTAATAACCCAGCGTGGATTCCCAGTTTTTTTACCATTCCACCGATCACACTCATTCACTCACTCACTGGCTGGCTAATGAAAAGCTGATAGCCTCGAGGCCTGCAGTCAACCAGCAGCTTGCCCCTTCCTCCTCATTTCCCCCTTTTTCATCTTTTCCTCCACCTCTCCGGTTCTCCTGAGGTTCAGAGGTCCCAAGTTTGGTGCATGGGAACATCCACCGAATGACTGACGGACAGACAGGGGATGGAGGATCTGTAATTAAATGAAGATCAAGACCATGAGGGGAAATATCTTATTAGCCTGACACAGGATGATTTTAACTTGATTAAAATCTGGACAGAAATGATTTGATTATGGGATAGGAACTCATAATGACTTACAATTGGAGATACTTTACATATTGAAAGTACAGAGCTGTGAGTGCTTTCAGCCAAAAAACACTCCTAGATATCCAACCCAGTCTCACATCTAAACGTGTAACACCATTAAACAGTTACACAACATAACAGACATAATATCGATAGCAGCGTCCCTAGCAACCACCTTGGTAACAATGAAAACGTTGTATTTACACAATTTCCTGAAGTATTCTTCGTAATAACGAGCAAACTAAAGATCATGTACATCCACTGCACACATAATCTGAAATAACAACTCATATTTCTCGCATCAAATGACATCAAAACGCATTTTAATGGTCAAACTAACCTTAAAATAGGCATTTTCTACCGAGAATAAAACGAAGGTCGGCCATGTTTTTTTATTTCTGCGGAGAGAAAGTTGAAGATCACGTGACATAGACGCCAGCCATTGGAAATGAATGGTGAAAAAAAACGTAGGGATCCTACAATTTCAGAGGCGTTTTTGTAGAAATACTACGTCCCAGTTGTGGACCAACGTAGTTATTATACGTTTAGATGTGAGACTGGGTTGAGATATCCCATCATTTGAACACATCAGGGCATGCATTGAGCTGCTCTGTGTTCATAAAACTGCAATGAGCTGGGTCTGTATGCAATGAGGTTAATTCTCACCGAAACCCTTGTCAAGTTCCTCAGGACTGTTTTATTTCAAGCAGCACCTGATACATGCAAAGGAATCACTACACATTATAATTCCCCTGATGGGACCTTCCACCTGTCAACAAGTCCGATGTTAGGGAGTTTGAGGGGTCTTCAGTATCTCTCTCAGATTCTTCCTAATCTTCTGGGTCTCTCGCTAAAAGTAACCAAAGCTCCAAAAACCAAGATAGGGAGAAAACTCAGACCTTAACATCCTAAAGGAACATTATTTAGTTCAACCTATCCAGAACATTCACATTGTTTTTTAGGCACTCCTACAACACAATAAACTAGTGGGGGTTAAAAGGCTCATCTGACTCTTTTTTATGGATTATTAATCACATTTTAATGTCTTTTTCTCAAAACATTCTTGAATTTCATGAAACAATCTTGAATTTAGAGTCTCATGATCAATGTTTAAACTCTCCTCTGTTTCCACAGCACGCCACTAGAGGGAACTTGAGTCAGTGAGTTGTGTTGTAAAGGCTCTCTGATAGAAATGGCTGCAGAGGCATCTAGTGGCTCTGCAGCTCCAACACTCATAACTGGATTAGAAAAGAGAGTTTTTCCTCAAAGGTTCAATCTTCAACCAGGTTTCCAAAAGGAGAAAACAACTACAATTATTTACATTTTTATTTGCAACATGAAAAAGGTAAACAAGGAGGAATAAAGAGTGTTTTGTTTTTATTTATATTGATAACACGTATAATTCTTTTTAGTATCTTTTATCTAATACTTGGTTACTACTAAATATAAAATAATGCTGAGCTTGTTAAAACACTATTTCCAAACTTAGCTTTGTTTTTAGAAGAACTAAGATATTTAAAATAAATAACATTTAAAAATGTAGTGATTTTCTAATCGCATTAAATCAAGGCATTTGTCAGAAATTATGTCTATTAACTTCATGGAAATACTCCTGCTACAAATAGTGACTAAACTTGAAATGGTCCTGAAGTGCTAACTGTACAGCAAAAATAACATTGCTATTGCTATTGTAATCTAAATAAAGTATATATGATTTACAGGAAAAAGTGCTAAAGTGCAAATAGCAGACTCTACAAGAAACTGTATGTATAACAATCATTGAATGTCATAATCAACATGAAGGTTATCAAGCGTAATTTAAACAGACTTTGATTAAACAGTGCATCTGTAAAAATGTACACTTAAAGGTAGGGTAGGTAAGTTTGAGAAACCGGCTCGAGATCGCTAGAATTTGAAAATACACAACCGGAGAAAATCTGCCACTTCCTTATAGAGCCCCTCCTCCAACACACACGAACGCGCACATGACCAATGAGGGCACGAGATAAGTTTGTGCACAGATGGAAGGCTGACAGGCAGGTAGGCCATCCAGTTATTTTAGCCGGGCCGGCTAAAATGATTGGTCGTGCTTTTTACAGTACTACGGCTTCCACAGATGACATTTTTTTATGGATTTTTTGTCAAAGCACTTCAGATATTCATTGCTATCGGGATGTTAAGAGCATTCCATGGAATATAACAAAAAGTGTATCTCGAGCCGGTTTCTCAAACTTACCTACCCTACCTTTAAAGTCTTGTCTTAGTCCTCTTAAGAAAATGAAGATACATCAAAACTGAAATTACTTTCATAGAATCTCCGGTTTACTTTTACTATGTCAAAAACACATACAGTACAAAACAGGACTCAAGTTTCTGTGCTTTTACTGTCATTGTGCTTTCCTGTTGTTATACAATCATAATAAAGGGCCGTCAGCACAGAGTCAGTCGGGTTGCTTATAATAGATATTCAAGGAATGCAGTGGCCAAAGGTATTTAGGAATGTGCAGAGTGTTTTTTCGTAATTTCTAATCTTAAGGAAAAGAGAAACAATTTCTGCAACAACACTGGCAAGACAACATTTGACAAACCATCTGTATGTTCAATCTAAAGCACACCACCACACAATCCTTCTTCAGGTCTATGTAGTTCTAGGGTTTGTGGGTGAATAAAAAGTTGGATACATGACAACCTTCAGGTCTCTTTCTCGCTCTTATAGGTCACTGGATCAAGGGGGACTGCAGTCTGCAGGATGTCAAACTCCATCTGGTTATTGTCCATGTCCAGAACGCACATGACGCTGCGACTGCCTGATGTCCTGGTCGCAGCGTCCTGGAACATATGTTGTAAGTCTACCGAAACTGAACTGTCCTCTGAACTCTGGGCATCAAAGACCTCATCCTCTTCCTCTCCACAGCTCAATGCCACCTCGTTCTCGTAACAGAAGGCGCTCAGCGACCTGGTAATCATGTATTGCTTGGTTCTACAAGTAGAAACCGGAGAAACGGCAGAAGAGGCCATAGTCGTGGCCTTGTCGAGTTCTTTGGCGCTGAGATGGGGTGTGGACGGCACCTCGTAGGTCTGGTGGAATCTAGAATAGTCTACCTTGTAGCGGTCCTCATCCTCGCAGATCACAGGCTCAAACCTGTGACCCCAGAAGACCTCTCTGGCAAGGAAGGAGCTACGAAACTGTGTGGTCATGGCAGTCGCCTCCACCATCCCCTCCAAGATCACAACGATCTCAAAGTCATCCGTCTCCAGATCAGCTCGACTTAAGGTATACAAGGGGCTATCTCGATCTATCTCGTGTATTATGACCAGTGGGGATACTAGAAACAGCCGGTCTGTTCCCTTATCGTAGCCAACGTTGAGGTCCATCTGCTCCAAGGGGATGAACTCACCTTCTTCGGTAACGTATGAACGTATGAGCATTGCACGGACATGAGCTTCCACAATGTGGCTCTTACGCAGGTTGCCCACCCTCCACATGAGGCACAGCTTGCCGTCTCGCAGGGTGATGACAGCATTCTTGGAGAACACGAGAGTCTGGTTTCTCTTTTTAGGTTGTGCCATCTTTGCCATGATTGTGCCGATCATGAAAGAGTCGATGATGCAGCCCACTATGGACTGCACCACCACAGTTAGTACAGTGACGGGGCATTCCTCGGTAACGCAGCGCAAGCCATAACCAATGGTGGTCTGGGTCTCCATGGAGAAAAGGAGCGCCCCAACAAAGCCATGGACATGAAGTATGCAGGGCGTTCTTAGAGTCTGCGCTCTGTGCGATACCCCATCATCGTTCACCATTGGTTGCTCCTTAAAGTCCCCATGTACCAGCGAGACACTGTAGAAGATAATCCCGAAGAAAAGCCAGGAGACCAGGAAGCTGCCGCAGAATATAAGCAGCAGGTATCTCCAGCTGATGTCCACACAGGTGGTGAAGATGTCAGCTAGGTAGCGCTGCCTCTTTTCATCCATGTTGGTGAATACAACATTACATTGTCCATTTTTCTTTACAAACCGGTTCCGTGTTTGGTTGGTGCCCCTCGTCAATATCTTAACGTTGTTCATTCCTCCTCGTCCACACGGAGCTGGGTACGGAACCCAACCTCCTCTTACTGTGTTTGGTCTCTACGTCGCAGGGCGAGTGCAAACTGAAGTTGAACTTTGGCCGTTAACGAGACCTAAGCTGGAGATCTCCTGGCGTACCTCCTCTGGTAGAATGCCTGAACCAATGCTGTACCTGTCAGAACAACAGAAAAAGTGAGATTGGGAGGATTAAAAACATTTTTGGTGACATTATGGCGCGTTTCCACTACAGCGCGGAACACGGTTTAAGAGGGCTGTGACGTCAGCGGCCCGTTTTTGGTTGCGTTTCCACTTGGCCTAGTACCGGCCGGCGGGTCCTAATTCACAGTTTTTCTGGCCTCATAAAATCGTGGGTCTAGGGCCAGAGACAACGAGGCTGAGTCGGGCTGAGTATGCTAAACTAGAGAGAGCATCGCTGGCAAGGGGGCTACAACTACAACAAGATGGACATATTTGACCGTGATTTAATTGTAATACACGTTTCAAAATGATGCCAAAGTAACAACATACTGATACCGGTTAGTAAAAACCATGAATTAATGCTTTGACAAGTCTGCAGACAGACGGCAGGCGAAAAACCTTTTAAAATGCTTGTTTTCTAAATGGAGATTGGCTAAGCTAACGCAGTATCTGCTCCGACCGTCCACACTCACAACAACGGCCTATACAGACATAAATAAAGCAGCGACTGTATTCACCATGACACAGGCAGTCTGTGGTGTGTACTTGTTTAACTTTTGTCTAGTTTCTAACAGATATGAGGAGCTGTGAGCTCTGAGTGCTGACAGCTAACGGCTGTGTTGTTTTTCTGGGGTTCTCATTGAAGATGACGTCACGGCTCCGCCTACACTGCGTTACTATAGATACTACCCCAGTTCCTAAACTGTAATGGAAATGCGCCATAAAGTGAGCCAGTCCTAACGAGGCCTAGCCATACCGAGCGAGGCCGAGCGAGGCCGTGTAGTGGAAATGCGCCATTAGATGCAAACAACTTTGGATAATAGAATGTTTATTGCCAAGTTAGGAAATCAATTTGGTTATGTACACTGCATTGGGTTAGGAGACATATTATGCCTACTTTCAGGTTCTCAGGGTTAGAGTTAGGTTTAGGTTTAGGGTGGGGATGCTTGCTGCAAACACACCAGAGCAGCAAGCCCATTATTAACAGCCAATGCTTTCTGGACAAGACAGGACATCACATATAGGATACAATTGTTTCTGTAAAGCAGTGATGCCCTTTGACATTGTAACTCCCATACAAATAAAATTGGGGCCATCAAATTGGAGAAACAGGGTTCCATGATTTAACAAGGGTATACTGAAGAACTCTTTTGTGAACACAATAACACACAATAAAAACCAGCTGATGGTCACCAGGTAAAAATGGGGGCTTTCACTAAAGCCAGTTTCCATGGGAACACGTCTCCAGTGGCATTTGGTGGATGGAGAGAAATGGAGAGAGTCATCAGAGAAACGTGGTGAAAAAGGGAGGAGTACACAGTATTAAGTGCTCTTATAGCATGAGTCATAGAGGGAAGGATGGAAGAACGGTCATAAGGGCAGCGATGCATCATTAATATTAGATTTTAAATAAGTTGTAAGAGGTGAATCTTATTGGAGACTTTTCTGAACCATTTTAAAGCGTGAAAACGTCACTGAGGATAGGAGAAATCTGTTAACTAAGTCTTAAGGCCTTTTGTATTCTTATTCTATTCAAAATGATTTACCCAAGGCTCTCTACTGAGGATATTTGATTTACAGAAACACATTTGAAATATCACAGGTTTTTACCAACTTTACATTTTTTGCAATTGAGACCTTTTTGTGTTGTGCAAATACTTGTGCATAAAATGTGTCCTAAAAATGATTAATCTATTAGTTAATTGACAAAAATATTAACAACAATTATGGGAGTTAATGAATGTTTTATGTGCAGGATTTAGTGACATCTAGTGGTGAGGTTACAGATTGCAACTTTCTGAATACTTTCCACTCACCCCTCCCTTCACAAGCCTCTTGGAGAACCCGCAGAACAATAGGCTTAATTATGAGTTATTAAACTGAAGGGATAAAATAGTCCAACCTTTGGACCCAAATAGACAAAGTTAGCTAAATTAACACCTGGATGGGTATTATACATGTTTCCTTTCCACTGGTCTGAAAGAAGAAAGAAGCAAAAAAGCCCAAACTCTGTGACCAGTGCATGAACTTATCATTTTAAAGCCTGTAGTAATTATGCAGAGTGGTCTGAGTCATATCTGGTCATTCAAAGTACATTTAAACTACCAGATACAAGCAAAGCCTTATCATGCTTTTTCTAAATCTAATTGTCTAGACTCTAGATGATTGTGATAAAAAAAACCTTGTTACATAAATCAAATTTTTCAATGTAAGCACGTGTTTGCTAAATAATGGTGATGTCATTCAGTGAAGGACCTGCTTTGTGTTGGGACTCGGGGACTGTGGACGATTGTTTTGTGTCAGTCATTCGGGATATTTGTGTGAGTCTTTTCAGGTTCGCTTCACTTCCTCCTTTTTGCTTTCTATGAAAAACTAGCAATCTGAAAACGAATCAATACTTTCCCCTGATTTCACCTCTGCTTGTCATGAGCCAACCCACAGAGGAGTCAGTGCAAAGAATGATTATTCCCAAGCTACAATCATCACAAACCAGACGACCCTCGTGTTGGCCTCATTTCAGATTCTTGTTTTGTCCATGTGGTCTCATTTTAAACTTGGGATAACATATTTTATTTCCACGTTCATGTAGAGCATTCTTAACATGTCCAGATGACAGCTTTTTGAAGTAAACATATATGATACTCCAACGTCAACATTTATTTTTATGCTAGGTGAAAGATTCACGTTACTGTATTAGCCTCCTTGGACATGTGTTTGTATTTCCATCTGAACACACAGACAGAGGAAGGCTGCAACCTCACTGAGTTTTATTTTGAGTGTCACATGTTCAATCAATATAATACATTTTATTTGTAGGTATACAGTTTTTGGGCTGAATGGTTTATGCTGATTGCTGACTTTAAGAGTAGTTCCAAATTTCAAAGGTCCAACATTGAAAATAAAGGAGAGATTTCTGGGCATGTAACATGTCAAACAACATCAGTATGAGTTTGATGATCATGTGCACCAAGGTACACCTGGTGTATCATGTTTCCAGGTGATGCATTTGTCATCCTCACCAGGTATTTTCAGTGACAAAGAAGTGTAACTGCACTTCATCACAACACAACAGTTGTTCATAGTACAAATAAAACATTTGTAACAAAATCATGAAGTTGTTATTGTTTTTATTTTCTGATACTGAAATAGTATTTGAATCATACTCACCCTATAAAAATAGTTTCCTGTCACTTTGTTGTCATTTGAGTTCTCAAAATGTAACGTTCACTGTCCAGGGTAAAGGTCCCAAATCCACTCTTTTAGTTCCCTTTTCATCTCTTCTTCATTCCTTTATCCCTGTTGTCAAGTCCATCATTGTCTTCTGCTGCCTCCTTTGCTGAATATAGTCCTGTCTGTGTCTCGTTCTCCTATACGTACGTATTCACTTCAGGCTGAAAATGCTGTGTCAATCTCTGCAGAGGGTTTAGAAAGGGGGGAGGGATGGATGAGGAGAGGAGAGAAATGAATAAAAGAATGAGAAAAACTGGAGGAGTGGGTCTGCCTCTTTGTCTGTAATGTGTAGGAGTTGAGGACTGCTTGATGTACTGTAAGCTCGTTTGAGTCATTTTCTATTCTAACTCTCTTCGAGAAACAACAGAGATGATACTGAAACAGATGGAAGACAAAAACAGTCTGGGGGCTTGGAGATAAAGGGCTTGAATCTCCATCATGCATGGTTTAAAACTGTGAATCACCAGGACTGTTGCAATAATATAGGACTAGTACTGTAAACTGGCCTGTAAACACAAATCCCTGTTGCATTCACTCCAACACAGTCTAAACCCCATTCTCCCACAGCTCTGTTAATACATGTTAAATGCCACATCAATGCAGAGGATACACAGGGAAGAAGACAACACGGTTTCAACATCAGTGGGAGTGTTTCTGCCTGTCTCATTGTCACTGAATTGCAATTGAACATGAAGTGTTCTGCTGTTGCAGAGGGCTTCCTCTCACATATTGGATCTCTCCATTATAAATGCAAATAGGGAAGGTCATTCTTTAATTTCCCAATGGGAGAGTGCAGTGTTATGGTAATCTAAAGTGAGTCACCTCCTGGTAAGAACTGAACAGTAAAGAAGTAAGAACAAACTTTATCTTTGGTGTTATTCAATAGAGAATAATAAAGTATCACAGTATAGTATATCAATAAAATAATTGTCTGTTTCTTCTTCTCATCTCCCTACTTAATATTAATGTATTCTTATAGTCTGATGAATTAGATTTCACAAGATATGAACACTTCTGGTTGAGGAGATGCTGAAAAGAATAAACTGTGTACTCGAAGTAGGTTGGTGTGCCTCCTCACTTCTCTGCATCACAAGAGATGTACAGTATCTGTGCAGAGAGCATTTTCTCTGTAATCTCTCTACCTTACTGCATCAAACATAATATAGGATGCAGAGGAGCAGGATGTGTGAGAGAAGTTTGCTACTTTTTTTGGAATAAGAGGGAGGACGAAGTGGGATTTTATAGGAGAGGAGACACAGAGGGATGAGAAATGGAGGGCGAGTTGTTTTAGGATGTGAGTGTGAATTTGTGGGGAGGCAGGAGAGTCCATGCCAGAAGATAGTGAAGACCGAGAGAGTATTTTAAAACTCTCAAAACTATGCGTACAATCCTACAAACCCTCAGAAAAACAAATGGTTTTGAGATAAGATCATTTTTATCTTCAAAACATAAGGTTTTGTTGTTATCTGACTGTGGCATTTACCTTAAGAGATCGTATTGTTGTATTGTTATATTATATTGTGTAACATTTTTCAAAAATAACACGTATATGTTTACTGTTAATCCTTTAATCTCATCTAAATGAGATTCACACAAACATCAGCCAGCCGGAGAAAACCAAAATCATCCTCCCTTGCGTGGGATGAGTCATTTCATAATTATACTGTCACAGATAATTATTCATCATCTACTGTGAAACACGATTGCTAATAAATACAGTATTTGTATTTAAGTCTGACTCATTACAATAGGATCAGATCTTTGCATCTAAATACATTTAATTAAGCTTATTAAAGTCTCAACCAGAAAACAGGTAAACATTGGTGTATGATTCATCTGCTAAAGGAGCTAGATAAAGCAATGTATTTGTAAAGCACATTTCACACACAAAGCATGTGACATAACATATTCAAAGTATTAAAAATGAAATAAATACATATATGAATCAATACTTTAAGACTAATTACATGCATAAAACATGAGGGCTTGAAAATGCAAAACAATTGAGACATTTCCATTTCAGTCTATCATTTCCGAATAAATCAACACTAATCTCAACATGGAAAATAGAAACAATTCCCAATTTTGTTTACAGAGGAAATCCAACTCCAAATCTATTATAATGAACAATTATGTTCCATAGATTTGTTCTTATTCCTGATAGCTTGCAGCCTGTCGCCATCTACTGAGAATGGACCAAAGTAGCATAGAAAGTCAAGCTACACCGGAAGCTGCGGGATTTTGTCTTCAGATTAAAACAGTAATAATTTTAAAAGTAAAGTATTGCCCGGTAATAATCATCCAAGATCAATTTTATAACTCAACGTGCCAATTTAATGTATTATTATGGTCGTTTATATCAATAGTGGGGAATTTCTCAACATTTAAAACAGCGTCTTGACGAGTGCGACTTTTGCTTTGAAAATCAGAACCGGAACTAGAATACAGTTGTTAGCTACTAGCTAGCTTGATGCAGGCTCCCCGCTGTCCGAGCTGTCAGCCACGTCACCTCCTCTGGAACAACTTTCCCCCCAGACCTTTGCAGACTCACTTTATCAGTGGATTCAGCTGACATTGTTATCTGTTTATCTTTCAAGATAAAGAGCCAACAAGCTACCGAGCAGACCTTGACTTCACTGTGTAGCTGTTAGCTTAGCTTTTTTCCTTTTTATCCACTGGACTCGCGGTTCTGATTTTTGTGGCTTCACATCTCCGCAGGACGTGTTTAGGCCTTCAAAGAGTTGCATTAAAGTTTTTTTTTTTTTATCGAAACGGATAGCAAACATGAATATCTTTCGTTTGGCCGGTGACGTGTCACATCTGTCGGCTATAATTATCCTGCTGCTGAAGATATGGAGGTCCAAATCCTGTGCTGGTATGCTAACATTCACATCACTGCATTTTAAACTACTAATGTGATTAAACAGCTTCAATTTAACAACATGCATGCAATTATATAGTATAGATACAACTGTGATAAGTTCATTTGTAGATATCCTTTAAGTTTAGTATGGTGGGGGTTTGCATTTTGCTGAGAATTTCTGCAGGAGTGGGAGCGACGTGGCAACTTCTTCCACCTTGTAAACAGCATCCTGTATCCTGAACACATCCTAGCTGCAGTGTAGCTGTCTCTTTTCCCTGTTAAATAATAAAAAACGAAGTTAGTCATAACCCTGTCTTCTCATATATGTGATCTCCCCTGGATTAGAAAGTGGCCATCTGCTTCTGACAGGGATTAAACTTGTTTTTTCTCTTTTTATGAAGGAATCTCGGGGAAGTCCCAGGTGCTGTTTGCCCTTGTCTTCACCACCAGGTACCTGGACCTGTTCACTGTCTTCATCTCTCCTTACAACACCGTCATGAAGGTAAGTTACATCCCAGCAAGTTTCACACACACTCTGTCCCTCAATCTGACCTCGATGAAAACACACTGTTTTTTTAGCAAAAGGTCATGTAAGGTCACAAAGTGATTCCTTTAGTCCTCTGTGAGACAAGCCATGCCTAAATGGAACTAGTTTGAAGCCACACACACACACACACACACACACACACACACACACACACTCATACAGCTGAATCCATGGTTCATACTTTATCTAGTTACTATGCAAAATAAGCAGCAGTCAGTCTATCTTACTTACTGTTTCATGGCCAATATATAATCCATGTAATTTTGTATTGCTTCTGTTATTTCTTAACTTTATTTTAACAATGACAGGAGACGCCATCAAAGAGCCCCGCTGCACCCATACATTAAAGCAACACTTTGCACCATAATGTCCTCTCTGCTCTCAGGTGGTGTTCCTCGCTCTGTCCTATGCCACTGTGTACCTGATCTACATGCGCCTGAGGAGCACGTACGGCTCTGACAACGACACGTTCCGCATTGAGTTCCTGCTCGTGCCGGTCATCGGACTTTCCTTCCTGGAAAACTACGCTTTCACCCCAATGGAGGTAAATAACAAGCACTCAGATTGTGTCATATCATAGATCATTTAACGGCTCATAAACATGCAGCCCAACGGATTTATGGTCAGTTTTTCATTATGTTTTATTAGCACATTTTAAAAAGAAGGATCAGACGGAGAAAAGTAAACAGAAACAAAAGAGAGAGGTGGAAACTAACTAGGTACATTTACTTAAGTACAGTACCGTACTTAAGTATTATTTTGACTTTACGGGAGTATCTCCCAGTAGTTTATGCTACTTTATGCTTTTACTTCAATATATTTTAGAGGCAAATATCATACTTTTGACCCCCCAAATGTATTCACGATTATGAAATCCTTATATGATATGATGCTGTACTGTACTGCTGATCATATATAATCTGCATTACAACTACAGAATGTGTACATTTTGATCCTAATACTTTTAAGTAAAGTTTTGAACTCAGGAGTTTTACTAGTTATGGAATTTTTAAAGACCATAGTTTTTTTAAGTTACGGATTTAAATACTTCTTCGACATCTGATTAAACCTCAACTAACAGAAAGAACAACATATAAACGTCAAATTAGCAGTGCAAAATTAAAACAACTTGCACATCTTTTACAAACCTAATCTGGTATATAATAATAATAATGTGATGTAGAGGCAGACTGAACAATACACCTCTTTTAATTAGTACTTTTAACATCTCAGTTAGCAGTTCAACTCATGAATGTCTCTCCCACTGACTCCCTCCAGATCCTGTGGACCTTCTCCATCTTCCTGGAGTCGGTGGCCATAATGCCGCAGCTCTTCATGATCACCAAGACGGGCGAGGCGGAGTCCATCACCACCCACTACCTGTTCTTCCTGGGCCTCTACCGGGCCCTCTACATCGCCAACTGGGTGTGGCGCTACCACACGGAGGGCTTCTTCGACCAGATCGCCGTGGTGTCCGGCGTCGTGCAGACCATCTTCTACTGCGACTTCTTCTACCTTTACGTCACTAGGGGTGAGTTAACACCAGTGCACAGTGACTTTTAAGCAGAGATGGCAAAAGTACACACATCCTTTACTCAAGTAGAAGTACAGATACTCGTGTTTAAAAATACTCTGGTAAAAGTAGAAGTACTGACTAAACTTCTTTACTCAAGTAAAAGTAAAGAGGGCTTTGAAATGTACTTCAGTAAAAAGTACCCATAACTACCATCTGTTTTAAAGAGTACCTGACCTCCCTTTATATTAATAGAACAATAATGTCATTGTTAGCTAATGAATGTTTCCATGCTGAACAACGGCAACATGACAACGTTTTCATTGGTCCCTCTTCTTTAGAGAAGACCAGGAAATGATGGATACACGGATCGTGTTCAAATCAATAGGCACGCAATGACTCTAAATAATAATGATCACGCCACCAAGCACACATTCAAACTAAAGGAACCAGCCTGTTTGGAAAATGTGAGAAGTAGAAAGTACAGGTATTTGGGTTCAACATGTAAGAAGTAGAAAGTACAGGTGTTTGTGTTCAACATGTAAGAAGTAGAAAGTACAGGTATTTGTGTTCAACATGAAAGAAGTCAAAGTAAAAAGTGGTCAGAAAAATAAGTAGTGGAGTAAAGTACTGATACCAGAAAAATGTACTTAAGTACAGTAACAAAGTATTTGTACTCCACTACTTCCCTCCTCTGCTTTTAAGACACAGAAGCTTCATACATTCACCAGTGGGGGATTTACTGAGGTATTTTATGTTTGAGAACAAAAAGTGAAACTATCTTCAGCTTGTGTTAACAACATAGCTTGTAATATTAGACATTTAACCGCAATCAAGTTTAAGACAAGGGATACAAAAGTGCTGAAATGCTAACTCATTGTCAGTTTTAGGACTAGTTCCTGCACCGCTGTATTTACAGTTCAAGTGTTTGACTGAGGATTGATTTACAGACAGCCGGATTGTATCCTGTAAAGACAGTTGTCAGCTGCGTTGTTAGTTTATAATCCGGCTTTTCCAGTTGACAAGTATGAATCTGATAAGAGGCCTGGTATTAGTGTTTCTAAACACACTTCTAATGCCTGCTTTGTTCTGCCTCTTTGTCCTCAGTGCTTCGAGGAAGAGGAAAGATGAGCCTGCCGATGCCAATTTAAAAACCAAAACAAACAAAAAGACGTCTGTGCCGCTCAGCCGACTCTCTGTGCCTGCTGCAGCTCAGCATCCCACACACCTTGCCCTTCAACTGTACATGTATTTAGCAAAAGGACTATTGTGTGCACCTCTAGAGTTTGATATCCTGTGTGATTGGTACTTTGTGTGTGTGTGTGTGAGTCTGTGTGTTGTTGTGAGAAGTTTGTGATTTTTTTCTTCTTGAGATGCTGAAAAATGTGTCACTGATTTGAACATGGATCTTAAAGTGAGTAACGCTATGGAAACTGTATATTTGTCTTTCCCTACTGTATAAAGCTCAGAGAGACACTTTGTTATAATGTTTTAAACCAGAAAATGGTGTCATGGATTTTCATACAACCACATTTTTACTGTTTCTTAATTCAAGTTCATCTTATTTATACATCCCAATATTGAAATCACGAATTTGCCGTTAGGGGCTTTCCAAAGTGTACATCTTCCACAAAGTGTCTTCCTTAGAGCTTACTGTATTATATGCAAACCCCTTCTTTCTTTATTCCTGTGTTTGTTTCCCTTTTGTATTTCCTCTTAAAGGTCGTCTTTTGTATTTCAATGTGATTCTTCATGGGAGGAAAAAGGGCTAAATGTTTCATTTTGTCTTAAATGAAGCCAAAGATGGGACAGATAAATGCTGCAATTGTTTAGTCCAGAACATGTTTGTGTTTGTTTCTTTGATGGGACTTAGAAAGTACTTTGTGTCAGGGATAAAGATAAGGGGGGGAAATGTCAGCAGAGCGTGTTGAATATCTGTAAAAGATTTACCTGTTTTTGATAAATGTTTTAGTCACAGTAAATTGATATTATCTTTATTATGTGAATGATCTCAAGTCAAAGGCGTGGCTCGGTTCTTTTGTTACACATGAATTACAACACACCAGGATGTTTGCCTTAAACACACACACACTTAAACACACACACACTTAAACACACACACACACATTCTTATTTAACAGTGTTCTGAAAGTGCCGGTGCATTGTGCAAATGTTAAACAGAGCTGACTAAGTGAAAGTATGACTAAGGGACTTTTTCATTCAAGCATCACCTCTCTGTTGGCCATTAGAGCTGCAACGATTGGACAACTTATCGATTAGTTAATTGACAGAAAAGATCACAAGTAATATCACAGAAAATCCAGTTTTCAACCTGTTAAAGGTGGGGTAGGTAATTTTGGAGAAACCAGCTCGAGATCGCTAGAATTTGAAAATACACAGCCGGAACAAATCTGCCACTTCCTTACAGAGCCCCTCCTCCAACACACACGAACGCGCACATGACCAATGAGGGCACGAGATAAGTTTGTGCACAGATGGAAGGCTGACAGGCAGGTAGGCCATCCAGTTATTTTAGCCGGGCCGGCTCAGATGATTGGTCGTGCTTTTTACAGTATTACAGCTTCCACAGATGGCATTTTTTTATGGATTTTTTGTCAAAGCACTTAAGATATTCATTGCTATCGGGATGTTAAGAGCATTCCATGGAATATAACAAAAAGTGTATCTCGAGCCGGTTTCTCAAACTTACCTACCCCACCTTTAAATATGAACTTTTCTCTGTTTTGGCCATATTATAGTAAATGCATTTTTTTGGACTGACATTTAAAAGCATTACCTTGGACTTATATATATATATATATATATAAATAAATATATATTTATATTTTTCACAATGTTCTAACAGTTTAAAGACCAAACAATCAATCTAAGAAATATCGGGCATTTATACCTTATATGTTATAATGAAATAGCATAAATGTTTTTATAAAATGTGCAACAAAGGATAAAAAAGAATAAAACATGTATAAGTAAAATAGGACACTTAGTACACTTTTAGTCTTCAAAAATCTTATAATTACATCGATAATAAAAATAAATCAAATGAGTTGCATCCTTATATTATCCACCTGAGTGACTTTTCAGTGTGGAGTCTTCATGAAGGTCTTCCTGTGTTTATACAGCACCTTGCTCCCTTCCCTCACCGCTCCACCCACGGCTTTAGCAGCAGAAGTGATGGAGAGAGGCGACGCTGCCAGAGCCGCCGCCCTCCCCATCACCTTCACCTTCCTCACCTCCTTCCCTTTCCCCTCGTCCTTCCCCAGGATCCCCGCCCCCTCCGCTGCCCCCTGCCCCACCGCTGTCACCAGCTCGCACCAGAAAAGCCTCTCCACCCTTTTCCTCTCCTCCTCTTCCCTCTTCTTCTCCACCTCCGACCTCTGGTCCTCTTTCTCTTGATCAACGTTGTGTCTTCTCTCTCCAAGAATCCTCTCCTGTGCGTCCTTCACGGCCCTCTGAGCCTCCTTAAACGCATCATTGCTATAGCAACTGCCTCCATTTTTCGCCACAACCTCATCTATCTTGTTTAAAAGCTGAATTACTTGTTGTGAGCCCGTTGGGGTTTCATGCTTTTCACTATTCTCAAAAACTTGATACCCCCCACAGCTGTTAACAAACTCCCACAGCTCAGGACTCTCCCCCAGGAAGTCCTCCACCCGTTTCCCTCCTAGCTGCCCCCCCCAGGTGAACAGAACCACCGTAAACATGGCGGCTCCAGGCCCAAACGTGGCCTTCACCCACTCCAACGCATCCTTCTCCTCCGGGGTGAACCTGCCGAGCTGTAAGATAAGAGAAGATATACTTATTGATCCCAATTAGGGGCATTTTTCCATCACAGCAAAATGTAGGTAAGTCATTGCACATGGATTAGAAGTCAATATAAAATACACATATCAATAATGAAGGATATATATCTATAGAGCAGGGGTGTCAAACTGAAGACCCAATACTTAATTTTATGTGGCCCGCAAGAGCTTGCAAAGAATATAATACGTTCATTATATAGTTACATGCCGCTTTACAGAAGCACGTTGCTCATATGTCCCACAATGCATCTAATTTTGTGACATGCACAATGCAGAGACATGCAATTATGTAATATAATACATTATTTTATATATATCATATATTTATATATGTATATTTATATAGTCTTAAAGTTACAACCGGCCCTTTGAGTGCAACCATAATGCTAATGTGGCCCGCGATACATTTTGAGTTTGACACGCCTGCTATAGAGTATTGTTGGGAAAATCCTGAATGTACTTTTCCAATATGAGAGTAACATGATAACAAAGGTATCCCAACTGTAGCTGTGTACATGACAGGATGTATGATTACCTAGAAGAGCATCAGGACTGTTTGAGGCATATGATAGCTATGTGATTAACATGATGATTCAGCCTCTATGGAGATAGACATATGACAAGCATGATCATTTCTGACGTGGAGCTAATCTGAAGTAAACATTGAATACTGCTTTATATTCCTCCATCTTGTGACTGTGTAACTCCCTCTCTTGGATATCAGCATGTGAAGGACACTATTCAGGAACTAGTTGATGCTCTGTATGTGATGACTACGTTTTTGAGATTTTGAGAAAAAATCTGAATTTTTTTGTAAAAAGTCAGGATTTTGAGAAAAAGTCCGAATTTTTTGATTTTGAGAAAAAAAGTCAGAATTTTTTGATTTTGAGAAAAAAAGTCAGAATTTTGAGAAAAAAGTCAGAATTTTGAGAAAAAAGTCAGTATTTTGTACATGACAGGATGTATTATTACTTAGAAGAACCGGTATTCCTTCATCTTGAGTTGTGTAACTCCCTCTCTTGTATATCAGCATGTGAAGGACACTGTTCAGGAACTAGTTGATGCTCTGTATGTGATGACTACTTCCATTCTGGAGGATCAGAAATACATGGATCCTGAGATTGAAGCTCAAGCCGGTGACCAGTGATATTTTATATATATTGAACTTTACATTTAGGGTCACCAGGAAGGCATGAGGCCCCGGAGAAGACATCGCCACGGATCGTCCCACCTCCCTCATGACCTCTTCAGGGGACAGGTGTGTGTGCAGGAAGCCCGGAGTGTCCACCACAGAGACCCTCCTCCCGAGCACCGCCCCTGTGTGTGTGGCGCAGTGTGTGGTGACGGAGGAGGGGGACACGTTGACGCAGAAGGCGGTCCGGCCCAGGATGGTGTTTCCAGAGGAGCTCCGGCCTGTTCCGGTCCGTCCCAGCAGAACCAACCTCAGGGGGTCAGGAGGGGATGAAGGGGGGGGTTCTTCACTCACTGTGGCAAAAATAAAAACAGCCTTGAGAGGATATCTTTAAATAAAGGGGCCCTTTTAAGCTTTTGGGGGGTTTTCCATTCCTGTAGTGTGTTGCTAAGGGTTTGTGTGCATGTAAATGGTCTGTAAAGGCTCAAATCCCTGTTCCCTCCAATGGGAGTTTCTCTCCCAAACACTAACACCCCCCTGCCTGAAACGCGTCCATTAGACCCCTTTGTTTACTTTTGGAACATAGTAACATCACCCTGTAACACTCGTGTTTCTATTGGCTAGCGCTTAAACACATTGTACGTGATAGGCTAAGGGGCGGGACACCTCTCAGCGGACAACAGAGCCGGCCAGACACTAAATACTGATATGAAGCTGAAAACTAGCATAATATGTCCTCTTTAAGTATTGATGTGCAGCTCCCTGCTCATCCTGTCTGAGATATTTTCTCATTAATGACCTTCTTCCTGCACATTATCCTAGATACTTAGGCTACTTAATAAATCAATGTTTTGACTCAATATATGAAAAAAAAAAAAATCCATTTACCAGTCTTTAAACACATTCTCTTGATTTGTTCTCTCCTTCTCTTACAGTGTAATGGCACAATGATGCACTGACTGATCTCCAACTCAGCATGATAACAGAAGTAATCGACATACCTTTACATGACGCAGCACTTTCAGATGACGACATCCCAGGAGAGATAATACAGCCTTCAATTTGGCCAGTCGTTTTTCTTGGGGGACCGAAAATAAAGGAGATGTTTTCCGTATGTCTCCACCGCGATTCGGATGTCTTGCCTTTGATTGTTATTTGAAGAGCAGCATCCTGCAGAGAGCATCAGCTGCGGTCACTGAAGAGCAAAGGCTTCACACTGCAGCTGTCAATGATAACCATATACTGTAACATAAAGTCACATGCACTAAATATCAGACAGCTGTTATTAATAAGTATCGTTGCTGTTTCAGCGATCATTAATACTGATGTTTCTGACGTTACTTTTGATGATAGCACAGCCAGCACTGGGATTTTAATGATGTATTATTGTAGCTCCCCGTTATGACCACTAGAGGGCAGTCAACATTCACAATTCTAAAAAAGAAAATTAAATTCTTGTTTAAAAAATAATATACAAGCAATACCTTTTATAACAAAAAAAGAAAATTCCCTAAATCAAATGTAAAATTAATATAATAATTATAATAATTCAAAATAAATACAAAAAATAACAATAATTTTGCTTGGAAATTGAACTCCATGAATATGACCCGAGTAAGGTTAAAACGTAAAATGTAACTAAATAAGTGACAAAATGTTTGCCTTTATAATTTCATAAAGGTATGTATTCGCACAATTAAAAGGTCTTACCAAAATAGAATACAATATGAGAAACCATAATTATACTTTTTGTTATGTCATGGTGAAAGTAGGTTCAAATATGCTATCAAAATCTAAAAAAAGCTTGGATATATATTATGTGATATGTATGACTTACTCCAATGTTGTTTGTGATGCAGAATCCAAGGTAAACAAGCCATGCCTTGCACCAGTCATTGTAAATAATTCTAACAATAAGGGGGAAACGGAAATGTTGGCTATTCATTAGAGAAAAAAGATCTGCAAAGTTCTGTTTTCATCTCCTAACTAGTGACTATTTGATGTTCTGAATAACTGGCACTGAATTCATTAGAAATTACATATAAATGACTTCATCACATCATTGTTTTCATACAGTTCATCTACTCAGGATGCTTACTGCTAAGCAAGTACAGAGAAAACACTTTGTGTTCAGCTATTTAAAAAAAACACAACACTTTTCACACCCACACAGTGCGGAGATGAGGTCTAATTAGACAGAAGTGAAAACACCTGTTTAGGAGCACCATTTCATTTCTCCTCTTTTTACACACAGAAGGCTTCTCAATTCTCTAATTTCCCCTCCACAACTCCTCGACTCCTCGGTCCTCCGGTAGTGACCCGGAAATGGATTTCAGCGTGCCATGTTGAAGGACATCTAATTTCTCTAAATGCACATCGAGGACTGAGCATCGAGCATCGAGCATCGAGGAGGCTCTCTGGGGGAGCTGTAATCGAGGATACACTGATGGTTCCTCCTCGACTCCTCAGCTCGCATCTCCTGTGGGCGGGACTAAGTCACGAGGATAGGAGTCGAGGATAGGAGTCGAGGATAGGAGTCGAGGAGGGGAAATTAGAGAATTGAGAAGCCTTTTAAGAATGGAGGAAATGTAGGAAAAGCGAACCACCTCAAAAATAAAACGTAAATCGTGAAGTAGTATGTGAAAGCAGGTAGTATTTAATAGGACTTTGAACAACAATAGATTAGGTAGTTTCAACATTTATGACCGTCCATGATGTTTAAATGTTACAAAGACAATCCCTCCTAAATAAAAAGAAAATCCTAAATTGTTGCTGTTTTTTCTTTTTTAAACTGAAAAGCCATTTTGTTCTTTTCAACTGTATTCCACAATTTGTTTTTCAGTATGCCTTCATACATCACACAGAAAACCACTTGACTTGTCACAGCTACATTTCCGTAGTCTTTAACCACTTTTTTAGTTTGAACCCTTCAGTTTTATTGCATGTCTTTAATTCTCCCTTTTGAAAAAGCCCTGATTCTCTTGCAAGAAAAGTCAGTACCCAAATAAATGTACAGAAGCATATATCCATTTTGAAATCACTTCCAAAGCATAAACTGACATGAGTGTGTGATTATGAATGGCTTTCATGTTCCTTAACAGATTGAGAGGCAGATTCTGTTTGTGTCTGCTACATAACGGGCGAATAACGGAAAAGCACTTTTTGAAAACCAGCTTTTGAATTGGCCTCTGTGGTGAAAGACCATTTGTGAAAATAACTGTGCAAAGAAATCATCCTCCACGTCCTTGACTTGAGTTCTTGCAGCACTCACATGAATTGCATATATATCCTCATCATTTTTAAGCTTGGATATCAGATCTGGCACATTGGTATAGGAACAAGAACAGTTCATATAATCATCAGGCTCATAAATCGTGTTACTGTTTTGTTATGGGATGCTAAATCTGCACACAGGTAAACCAAAAAGAAACAATAACACACAGCTTTTTATAGACTGCTAGGCAAACACTACAGAGTATTATTGCATTTAATGGGTTTGTTTACTGGATCCATCACGCAGCATTGTTGCTCTGTGCTGTAGTGAGTAATGGAGTTTCACCTCATTAAAAAACATATTCTACAGCTTAGTTTTTAACATACAATTAGTTCAAATATAATGAACATTAAAACAGAAGGTCTAGAAATGTGCAAACAATATAAATCGTGTGTTAGTCGATGTAGATGTCACAGTGGTTAATATGAAAGCTGGGGTAGGCAGATTTCTGGAGATCAGTTATCTGGATGTTGATGTATCGTGTCTGCTGTCAGAGGTCAGAGCTGTAAAGGCAGTTGTTGCCAATGCTGTAATAACAACTTTTTCTGCAGGACTTTATATCACGCTTTCACCATCTGCATTTCTAGAAGAGCCAATAAGCATGCCCTGTCTCCAAAACGACTTATGATTGGCCGAAGTCCCTTGTCACTTGCTGGATTTTCTTAAAGCCTGACAACCAAAAAGGAGGCGAAGGAGTCTAGTTGTCTCTTCGAGCTACTGAACTACAACATGCTCAAAGGTTATTATAAAATGATTTGCTGTCTACCCCAGCTGTAACTGCGCAGTTGGACCCTGATTGCCGAAGAATAGAAAGTAATGTACAACTCAAAAAGAAAAGGTCTAACTACAGATTTCCTGTCTGTAAATCCTCTCTGCTACAGGCAGCCTACTGGTTTGTTTTTATGTCCATGTGGGCTGGTGCTTGAGTCGCCATCAGGAGGAACTGTCGCCGGGTCGGTCCCACTCCACCTGGTTTCTCAATGGAAAGCAGGCTACCTTGCTGGGAATGTGAGTCTCCGAGCTCAAAACAGCCACGTATTCTGTATTCTCAAAGTGTGTCTCTACGGTATGACTGCTGCTGCTGCTGCTTTCATTCTGCAGCTCGGCCTCGCTGATCAACTTTGAGTTTTCTACGTCGAAGAAGCTGCTCTGACCGATGCCCAGCCCGAAGCTCTCCAGCATGTCCATGACTGACAGAGTGGCCGGGTCGCAGGGCACCTCCTCCTCCTGTATGAGACTCAGCGTGGGCAAGATGTCCACCAGCTCTGCCATCTCCATCGGCCGGATCACCTCAGTGATGCTGCAGGGAAAGTCAGTTTCCCCGGAGTACGACTCTTGTGTTTCTAGGACCGTGTAGCCGACGTCTAACTGTGCCACAGCGCCAGGCTCCAGTCCTGATTCAATCAAAGCCGTCGCACATTCTAACTCTGATTGGCCGCCGATGCTCGTCAGGTCTAAAGTTGATTTGTGGGTGATGTCCACTGGGTATCCGCCCTTTGCGACACCCTCCATTAACAACGTGGCATCTGCAGGGACGACCATGATCCCAGAGGGAGCGGCGATCTCCACAGGGACGATGTTAGGTGGAGCCACATTGACCAAACACTCTGAAAGGGACAATGGAAAGACAACAAACATCTTAATTCAATTTCAAATCATAAGATAAGATAAGACTTTATTCATCCCGAATGAAGTCGAATGAACTCGAGCCAGAGTTACAATAATAATACAACTGTACACTAACAGAGCAGTAAAAAGAGCAATTCAATAACTACAGGAAACATAACAGTCATACATACATAATTCATGTAAATATTAACATCCAGTTAATCAGTACATTAGTAGTGCAGTAGTGGTAGTTACGTAATTGCACGTTATTTATTGAACATTATTAATAATAACAATAATATTGCACATGTTATATAGCAGAGTGTTTTGTAATGATGGTAATGATATTGTGTGGAATTTCTCAGTTCCCTGCAGCATTACTGCAGCTGGTCCATTTCGGGACCCCCTTGAAAACGAGATGGTGCATCTCAAGGGGTTTATCCCAATAAATACAATGTCTATATATATATTACATCTGAAATAAACTAAACTAAGATGTTGAACATGCCGCTTTCTAAACATCAACATGTAGCTTTCTCATTGTGAGAGTGTGAGCATGCTGAAATGAGCATTTAGCTTAAAATAATGTTGTGCATTTGTAGCATAGCCACAAGCATTGCTGTGTAGACTTTCAGTTTTCAAGTCTATCTAATGCATTCTTTTATATCAAGTACTACTGTCTCATTCCTTAACTAGAATATAATTAGTCCTTTGATCCTGCTTTTAATCCATGAATCAGGGTTTGTTTTTATCTCTAACTTAATCCATCTTCCCCACACTCAGGATTTGCTAATGAGGCGTTTTCTCTCTGCTCTCATTTGAATTGTCTTTCCTCTGAACTCTCTCCAGTTCACTTCTGGACGTATGAGATGTATTTTTATCCACACCCGAATAATCCTTTACCTGCAATGGCTCTCTGAGCTTGTAGCCGATGGGGCCAGGTGAGTCTGGCGGTCAGACTGTCCTCCTCCTCCTCTCCATCAGGACGTGGGGGGGGGTCTCCTCCCATCACCAGGCCCAGAGGCACCGCCCCCACCCACTGCTTCGAGCGCACGCACTGCAAACAATCCATGATCCAACGAGCGTCCCTCCAGACCGCATCCAGACGCTGAGGAAACAGGAGAGAGGGAAAACTGTTGATTTAACTTAAAGGTGGGGTAGGTAATTCACTTCATAAACACTTTTTGTTATATTCCATGGAATGCTCTTAACATCCCGATAGCAATAAATATCTGAAGTGCTTTGACAAATAAATCCATAAAAAAATGTCACCTGTGGAAGCCGTAGTACTGTAAAAAGCACGACCAATCATCTGAGCCGGTCCGGCTAAAATAACTGGATGGCCTACCTGCCTGTCAGCCTTCCATCTCGTGCACAAACTTATCTCGTGCCCTCATTGGTCATGTGCGCGTTCGTGTGTGTTGGAGGAGCGGCTCTGTAAGGAAGTGGCAGATTTGTTCCGGCTGTGTATTTTCAAATTCTAGCGATCTCAAGCTGGTTTCTCCGAACTTACCTACCCCACCTTTAAGTCCAACAGGAATTACATTTAATCATCATAATTTAAAATGTGTTCTGTATATTCTAAGTTATTCTGCATATGTTTTACCTTATTCTGTATATTCTGACTTATTAATTGGAGTTATTATCACATCATATGAAAGCCACAAAAAAATCTAAGAGTTTTACATAAAAGAAACTGCTTATCTTTCATATAAATATTCATATGAAATAGAAAGATCCTGTAATCCTGTCCCACATATGATGTAGTAGTACCATTTTGCATTGATTTGTAGTTACGTGATATAAAGGCCCATGAAAACATTTAAAATAAAAAAACGGATAATTTGGTAATATAAATATTTATATTAATAATGGAGTTCGAAGAAAAAGTTTTAAATTTAAAAGCTGCAGATTTTTTAATATAATTAATCGATACAAAAAAGGAAATCTAAAATCTAAAATCCAATAGGAGAGGTGTGTCCTACTCATCCATTGTAGTTAAACATTGATTGACACCGATCAATAACTGAGTTGCATCAGTACTGTATGTTGCACTGTCCTTTATGCTACACATATTGTAGGAGCCAAAATGCTTGTTTTGCCATTGCTTATTATTTCTATTATTATCTTCATTTCTGTTTGCATCACGTTTAATTCTTATTGTTTATCACTTACTGCAATTGTCACGTGGGTGTGGTTTATTGGTATTTGGGTCACCACCGGTTTTGGGATATGACGTAGAGCAGGGGTGTCAAACTCAAATACACAGTGGGCCAACATTAAAAAATGGGTGCTAGTCGAGGGCCGGACTGGTTCAATGTTTATTGCAAAACGTATTGAAATGACCTTATTGCACATATTAAACCTGGAACTAACAAAGCTTAAATTATTGCCTATAAAAACAACATTAAACATTAAATAATCAGTTGCATTCATTTCTTATGGCTCTATCTGCAGCTTTTCCCGAGTCATTTCTTATGATTACATTTCTCCACAGGCCAACAACAGCTTCAAAAAAACTATTTCCCTCAAAGAACAAACCAAACATGCCCTGTTGCTGTGAGAGAAAAAGTGCAGAAGGAAACATCCATTGAAACTCAGGTTGCTGCTCTGTGATGCTAGTTCAAGCCAGATACTTGGCATCTCATCTTGGGTGCAAGTTCATCAATGTTTGGGCTCAGGCTCTGAGCTGAGGAGACCCTCAGGATTGAGTGAAGGTGTGCGTGCAATATACCGGCGGGCCAGATCTAATAGTAATTACAAATTATCCTGCGGGCCGAAATTAAATCCACCAAGGGCCTGGTTTGGCCCCCGGGCCTTGAGTTTGACACATGTGACGTAGAGGAGAGGGTGAATGGCTCTGATACTTTCTGTTGACCGTGTGGTCTGGAGTTGTATATTGTTTGTTTTTTCTTCTTTATTAAACACCATGGCCTATAAATGACTTGTATGGAACGTGTCACAGCAAAGAGCACATTTTAGCCTCTCAGCGGCATAACTCATAGGGAGTTTTTGCTGCTATACATATCTTCCCTGGTCTTACCTGAGAGAGCTCCGTGATGTGGTTGAGTCTCTCGCGGGCCTCCAGCAACTCCTTGGTGTCCAGCGCCTCCCTCAGAGCCTGCTGGGCCAGGTGAGAGTCCAACTCCAGCCTCACCCACGCCTGGCAGTACTGAGACAGGAAGTCCCGCTCGTACATCCAGAAGTGAACTGGAGAGAGTTCAGAGGAAACACAAATCAAATGAGAGCAGAGAGAAAACGCCTCATTAGCAGGATCAAAGGACTAATTAGAGCAGAAACAGTGAAATCTTAAAAAGATAAGACACTGGACCTCACTGTGTTTTACACTCGTTATACTTTCCAACCAAACTGGCAGAGGTTGAAAAGAAACTCGTGTTTTTTATCGTAATATTTTAGACTTTGAAGATAAGACAAATGTATTGATCTTAAAGAGATGAAATAAAATGACTTCTGACCTTTGATTATGTCGATGCTGCTACTTTTTTTTAGTTCAAAGATAGTTTGAAATGTTTTGAAATGGGGTTGTTTGAGGTATTTATCCATATAGTCAGTGTATTTACTACAGAAGGAGGTTGGAGTACAAGCAAATCATCATGTGATCAGCAAAATGCATATATTGAATTGCAGAATATTTATTTATTATAATTGTATTTATTTTTGGATTCCTTTCTGTGTTTTAAGAAGTGTTAAGTAGCTGGTTCTTTTTATTCTTGGTGTGTATCGAATGTGATCTGTTTTTATGTAAGAGCACTTTGTAATTCTGTTTTAAAGGTGCTATATAAATCCTTCCTGATTCTTCACACTCTTACTATGGTTAAGTACCCCATATAACCACTTCTAAAAATCCAAACCATCCATTTAAAGTGGCCCGAGGACACTGTGCTGATTTTAGAAAAGGTCCAAAGTGGTCCCAGTTTCATTCATTCTATTGTGTTGTGTTTTAAAATGTTTTAACATCATGTATGAGGGTTTTCAGTCTGTGGCTATAAGTATGGTTTTATTGTCTCGTGCCTTCACATTCGTTTCTTTTTGTCCCATCGGTTTTGTCTAAATGTATTTATGCTGCTTTTCTATATATGTATTGATGGACAGCACTTTGGTCAACTTTGGTTGTTTTTAAATGTGCCATATAAATACAGTTGGATTGGATTAATCTCAGTTTTTGTTGTGTTCCCCTCTCTCTCAGCACTGCTTGAAAACACTGTGGTTCTTTTGAGTGAGAGATGCTGTATCTATGGACTCTTGACCCTCCAGTGGTCCACCCACCCAGCTCAAAGATCTGCAGCGGCATGGTGAGGCCCGGCTCCTTGGTCCCCACCAGAGGCCAGTAGTTGGAGCTGAAGTCCTCGCTGGGCGGCAGCAGCAGCAGCATGGACAGCTTGTCTCCAAACTGCAGCAGCTCCCGGGTGTACACACCATACTGATACGCCTGAAACACACACACACACATACATCATATTGCATTACATTTAAAATCAGAATCAGAATACCTTTCTTAGTCCCACAGAGGGGACATGTGCATGCTGTTTACATTGTTACAGCAGAAAAGAGCCAAAGACAGCTTAATATTACCTAGAAGCATGCATAAAAAAGTATTAAAGATTAAAAAAAATTATAATAAAAAAAGTTACACCATTTACAAAATACACATCCTGCAAGAACTAGGACTACGAAAACACATTACTCCCGTATTAGCTGCTCTGCCCTTGCTCTAATTTCCCTTAAACCCTTGTTGATACCTGGATCCTGAGCTTTATATATGTTTACATGACATCTGTCATTTGTATTGTTTATGTTGTGAATTTATTATGTTTTTTAATCTGTCACTTTTGTTTTGATGATATGTACAGACTGTTAAGCCCCCTGAAACAAATGTGTAATTTGCGATATAAGTCAAAATACTCAATTACAGGTAAAAGACCTGAATTTAAAATATTACAATTATACGTTTTAAAAGTACAGAAGTATTACCAAGTGTCTAAAGTATCATATTTCCCTCTGACATGTGAAATACTCAAGTAATTTACATAGTATGTCCAAATAGTAGTTGAGTAAAGTACATGTACTTAGTAACAATCCACCACTGAGGAAGTATATTGACACCACACACACTCAGACACTGAAATCCAGCACCAGACACTTTTTTACGCTGCTATGGACAATCTTGCACTAATGTACATCTATTGAATAAGAGAATAAGATATTGAAGTGGCTTTTATTTAGGTCTTAATGTGTGCATATGTATAAATGTGTCATTGATTGTGTGACATAGGATATACATATTTGTTTTTGTATTCGGGATTGTGGGAAACGGTATTTCGATCTCTCTGTCTGTACACACAAACTGAAAGTCTGACAATAAAGTTGACTTTGACTTCCATGTTGGCTGTGAAAAACATTGTTACCCTGTAGAGGGGGATGTTGAGCTTGGTCAGCAGGTGAGTGATGGCCGCTCTCAGAGACATGACGAACTCGGCCAACCCGCTGCTCTCCATGGCGCTCTCCTCTTCCTCGCTCAGGATATCTGGAGCGCTGCCGTTGGTCGAGGTGTAAACGTGACTCTGCAGCCATTCCCACTCCTCTCTGTCACACAGGGATGATGCAGTTACTAAAACACTGCTGTAAAAGCCATAAGAAGTAACTAGGCTCAGGAGCTGTGACTACTTAATGCTTATACTTTATGTTCAGGCGGGCATCTTCCAAAAGCAGTTTTTGATTTAACATGATATGAAATTGGCAAGGGCCTCCGCCGTGTTGGGGGAGACTTATGGGAAAGTCCAACATCCAAGAGAGGAGGGTGAGGCTGCCAAACAGAAACCTCTCTAATTCAAAAGGCAAGGTTTATTTATAGAGCATGTGTAATACACTGAGGTAGACTGTGAAACAATACAATATCGTTTGAAAGAGCACAATAAAAGAAGATAATTTAAGAAAGAGTTAAATACTAAAATAATACAAAATATTAATAGACTAATAATACAATTATACAAGGCGTTTGCCATGGATTACCACATTTAAAATATTGCTTTTAAAGCATCGTGATTTTACACCTGAAAGCTGTAACTGTGGTTTCTTTAATACGTGTGCAGCTTAGTATAACTTGTTGTTGAGCTAAAGAGTGGTGCAGGAATGAGTCCTTAAACCTGGAAATGAGTTAGCATTTAACTACTCCCGTGTACCCTGCTTCTATGTCAATGATTTTTGAACATGTGTGTGTAAAACACGGATCTTATTTTGGGGTATTTAACCTCAATATTTAGTGATTGTCTAACTTTTTTTATATGACATGAAATACGTCAGTTAATACCCCACTGGTGAATTTAAAAACCGCGGTTGCTAACGAGTGTCTAAAAATGAGGCAACTAAACGTCATCACGCCCAACATTAGCCGCCTTTAGCTTAGCGGTGGTGACGTGAAGTCATGAGATAAGATAAGATAAGAAGTACTTTGAGCCCAAGTTGGGAAATGTTTGTGTTGCAGCAGCATAAAAAGACATGGCATTGTACAATAAAATTAAAAGACAAGAAATAAACATTTAAAAATGTCAACATCTCAATAGCAATGACCCTGCTGTAGTTCCTTTAGTGTCGGCTGTGTTACCTGGAGACGTGTGCGTTGTGTCGGACCCGGGTGTGGCAGAGCAGGTTGGGTAGCCTCTGAGGAACCAGAACCCGGATCTGTTCCACGGAGCTGCACAGCTTCAGGATCCCCACGTACAGACCCGGCTTCGCCCACTGAACACTGTGCCTGTGGAGGGAGAGCTTGTCCTGGAGAACAGGGAGGGAAGGTATGGCGTTGGGAAGCTGTTAATAGGAGTAAGTGTTTGGCTGCTGTAAATTGAGTGTCTCATTTTGTATTTTAGATCTTTAGGGCTTTTTTTTTAGGGGTTGTTTGAAATGCAAAAGAGATAAAAAAAATGTCTCATTGATAATGTCAGGAAAGTCAATCAATGTAATAACCCTAAACCTCTTATAAAAGTTGCTGCAATTCAGTCAACAAAACATATTGCATTTTTTTTTTTTTTTAAAAAGAAAAAACTGGCATACTTTTAAACTTGTGGATTTCAGAAAACCTAAAACGACACCCAGGTGACAATTGCAGGAAGTGATGATAACCCAAAATGATGTTTACAGTCTAAACCAGGGGTGTCAAACTCAAATACACAGTGGGCCAAAATAAAAAAAATGGGTGCTAGTCGAGGGCCGGACTGGTTCAATGTTTATTGCAGAACTTATTGAAATGAACTTATTGCACATATTAAACCTGGAACTAACAAAGCTTAAATTATTGCCTATAAAAACAACATTAAACATTAAATAATCAGTTGCATTCATTTCTTATGGCTCTATCTGCAGATTTTCCAGAGTCATTTCTTATGATTACATTTGTCCACAGGCCAACAACAGCTTCAACAAAACTATTTCCTTCAAAGAAAAAACCAAACATGCCCTGTTGTCGTGAGAAACAAAGTGCAGAAGGAAACATCCATGTAAACTCAGTTTGCTGCTCTGTGATGCTAGTTCAAGCCAGATACTTGGCATCTCATCTTGGGTGCAAGGTCATCAATGTTTGGGGTCAGGCTCTGAGCTGAGGAAACCCTCAGGATTGAGTGAAGGTGTGCGTGCAATATACCGGCGGGACAGATCTAATAGTAATTAGAAATTATCCTGCGGGCCGAAATTAAATCCACCACGGGCCTGATTTGGCCCCCGGGCCTTGAGTTTGACACATGTGCACTAAACGAATATTTACAATAATACAAATAAAGAACACAAACTAAACAAGCTTACTTTGAGCTGTTCATAAAGCATGTCCATGGCGGTGGGCTCGGGCAGCAGAGGGGTTCTGCTGCGGTTCTTCTCCAGACGGGCCAACGGGATCCAGTGGAGCGGGGGGTCACGAGGGCTTTAAGCGGTGTGGAAAAGAGGGGGTGAAAAAATGTTAATCACAAGGAACTAGCAATAAAAAACTCAGGTCGAATAACTGTGCCTGTGCCTCACGTCAAATGTAATTGACGTTGCTTTAAAAAGACATTCAGACACACATTTCTTTAAAAGCCTGTTGCCTTGACTCCTCTCTTTCGAGTCTCTTAAGCTTTGACATGCTCAGACATGAGTCAGAGCAGCTCAGTGGTGAGTTGGAGTACGTCCTTCAGACAGAAGCCTGATGTTAAAGCCTTCTTTGATGCTGGGTGCTCTTTGTATGAGTCAAAATAAAAGGGTTTAACACGGTGTAACAAACTACTCTTCCTCACCTTGGAGGGTTTGGAAACTCCTTCATGGTCACCAGTAGGACGTTGCCCTGCCGGTCTTTCAGAGGCTCATAATGAACCTGGCCCAGGTCTATTGTTCCCAGAGAAGACTGAAGGCAGAGGAAGGTAGAACAGAAAGATGAGGATGAATCCATATGAGCGTATTAGGGACTGATGCACTGAAACACAACACAGGTTTGTAGATAGGGACGCGAGGCAGCGGTGAGGAGAAGAGATGTTAAGAGGTCATTAAAAAGCAATTAACCCACTGTGATGCCTCTCACTGAGCGGATGGACTTCCTACCTGCAGCTGGGAAACAGCTCTTAAGATGTTGTGCCTGTTCTGGAGGAGGGAGGAGGGGGAGGAGTGGGCGAAGGCGAGGGCCTGCTGCAGCCACGGCACCTGCTGCCACGCACACGATAACTGTAGGAGAAAATACAAATCATAATTACATGTAACTGGGATTCACAAAGAAAAATTACATAGCCTGATGTTTACTTTAAAGGTCCCGTATTATACTGTTTTTCATCAATATATTATAGGTCTCAGATATATACAAACATGTCTCTGAAGTGTTTGTCTCCAAATACCAAACAGATCATTGCAGCATTACCCATAATCCCCTCTGTTTCAGCCCTGTTTCAAAAGTGCTGATTTCTCTGTCTGTTACTTTAGATGAAAATAAGGAGCCCCTCCCCACGCTCCTCTGAGAGATATTTGGTTACAAAGAACACAATGGTGCTCTAGGAGGAGATTCAGGTGATAAGGGGGGGGGGGGGGGGGGGGTTACCTTGGTTGCTGATTGGCTAATGGTTACACGCCAAAACAACGTTATGACATCATAAAGTGGCCAAAATCTGATCAGCTCATTTTCAGACAGGTTTTTATATAAATGGATCAGGACAAAAAGAGAGAGAATCTTTTTTCCTGAAACTTTCAGAATCTCTTTCCACAGAGGGGACACATGTTGATGTAGAAGAGACATGAAGAAGAGGGGACACATGTTGATGTAGAAGAGACATGAAGAAGAGGGGACACATGCTGATGTAGAAGAGACATGAAGAAGAGGGGACACATGTTGATGAAGAAGAGACATGAAGAAGAGGGGACACATGTTGATGTAGAAGAGACATGAAGAAGAGGGGACACATGTTGATGAAGAAGAGACATGAAGAAGAGGGGACACATGTTGATGTAGAAGAGACATGAAGAAGAGGGGACACATGTTGATGTAGAAGAGACATGAAGAAGAGGGGACACATGTTGATGTAGAAGAGACATGAAGAAGAGGGGACACATGTTGATGTAGAAGAGACATGAAGAAGAGGGGACACATGTTGATGTATACAAGACGTGAACAAGTGGAGTTTGCATAATAGGTGACCTTTAATGTAGCTTTTACTTTATTAATGCCGTGTATTTATACCTGCAGATAAAAAGTAGAAAAAGGTTTTACAAATCCCTTTACTTTGAACCTGCTGTTTATCAGTTTTTCTTTGTGTGTGAATATTCATCTGCAAAACATACTGACTGGGAAGGAAACAATGAAAGTAATATTTGAAAAAATAAGGTTCAATTTTGATTTAAAAGAAACAATAAATGTTGTTTTTAATAAAGCCTGCTTTTTTGTGTTTATTTCTTTTTCATTTTATTCAATTATCTAAGTGCGTGAATATTTATCTGTAAATATTGCTGGCTGTGAAGGAAACAAAAAAAGTCATATCTAAAGAAATTAAAAAGCAGCATTTATTGAAAAAACAATAAGAGTCTTGCACGTTTGATTACATCTACACATATATTAACTGTGTTCAATTTGGATTTCAAATGAACCAATGGTGTTTCTTTGTGTTAATGAAATGTGTTGTGCTGACAGTGTACCTTTGCAAACCAGAGGAAGTCCTGGATGATGGAGGTGGAGCAGCACTTGATCTCCACCAGCGGGATCTGATCTTCAGCCGTCACCAGGATGTTCTCCTTGTGGTAGAAAACAGTCGCCAGGTACACACCCCTAACAAAACCAAATGAGACCACATTTAAGAGAAATTATAGAAAGACACATACATTTCACTTCATATACAAGTAACTTTTGTTGCATCCAGACTACTTTTTCCTTATGTTGAGTCAATCTTCACTTTATAATAAGTTGCTGTCAGGTGACACAAAGGAGGGATCCCTCTCCAGACAGTCGTGACATAGATGTTGAGTGTTTAAGATTAAAAAAAATGACAAGAAAGGCAAATCAAAGACACAAATGATAATGTGAATGTATATGAGAAAAGATGGATCCAGGAGGATGTCAGAAATGTTCCAAGTGCCGCCTTTAAAAGCAGGAAAACCGCTATAATGTACCAATGTAAGAGGATATCTACCCTTATATACAATATCATATAGATGAATTGCTCAGAAATACTTAGAAGCTGCCATGTTTATCTACTGGCAGTGAATTTGGTGTGGAAGAAGCTTTGATCCCTAACGTGCCCCTTCACACAGTTCAAATGACCCCATTACTAGTCCTGCCACTGCAGCAGCTTTCATGTTGTCGAGAGTTTGGACTTTGTAGTCTCCATGCCTGTACACACATCACATTTAATACAGTTACTCCCCACACCCTGCAGGCACAGATGGACAGGTGAGGCAGAGGGAGCGCTACCTCTGCAGGAGACGAACAAACTTGGTGGCGGACTGGAACAGTTGCTTGATGCCTCGAGACACAAACAAGCGCTTGCTGGGACTCAGGGGCTTAGAGCTCTCTGTGGAGGAGAGACGGATCAGTCAGAAACACTTTACATGTCAAAGTAAAATCACTGAGCACACACACACACACACACACACACACAGGATATATGAAAAGGTGACGGAGGTGAAATAGCATTTTTCTCTCATGATAAGGGTTGATACAGTACATGCAGCTGATATATAAAGGTTTAAAATAAGAATAAAACCATGTTACAAAGCATCATAACAATTTTATTTCATTGTGTTTAACACTGAGCAATCTCTTACTTACAGAAATAATTAGGGTCAGTCATTAATACAGAAACTGATGAGAAGGATGTGCATTTACACCGCAATTAGGAGATCAAATTCAAATGTTGGGAGTTCAATTGTTTTATTCTCAAGAGTCTTATGTTTATTCCCGACATTACCACTTTATTCCTAATATTTCGACTTTATTTTCGAGATATTTCAAAATGGTATTCAAACTTTCCTCTCAACATTTCAACAATGAATTCATTTTGAATTCTCTGAAAGGTATTTTACTTTATTTTCATAATGATTATTCAACTTCAGTCTGACTATTTTACACCTTCTGTACTTAAATTTAAAAGCAATTCTGACCGAGGTTGGAAATACTGTAAGGGGGCGTTAAGCAGAGGATGGTAGATTATTCAATAGTTAGTTAGTAAATGATGAAGTATCCACCAAAAGTAAAGTGTTTCCCAGGAGTTTAAAGGTCCCATGTCATGCTTTTCCGGTTATTACCCGTCCCCTTGTGTGTTATGTAGCTTTTTATGCATGTAAACGGTCTGCAGAGTCACAAACCCTCAAAGTACACCCTGTAGCGAGTAAAACTCTAACACAGAAAAGACCTGTCTATGCTGCCCCAGAACGCCTCGTTGGACATTTCTTTTTTTCAAGGGGGGTGCTAGTGGAGCCTCGCAGCGGCAAAACTGTGGCGCGCTTACACTGCAGGTGCGCCGCGTTTGAGGGTGCGGGCAGGGGGGCCGTGACTGACAGGGGCCCAAACTATTTTAGAACATTAAGAAAAAAATGTTTAAGTAACCAATGTGATATCTTTTCATGGGGCCCAAAATCCCTGGCGGCGGCCCTGGGTGCGGGTGCTAGTGGAGCCTCGCAGATGGGGGTGCTGCAGCCCCCTCAGCACCCCCCCTCTTCCCGCGTCCATTCGCGCTGTCTCGCTGTCTCGCAGACCCCACGTAGCAAGCAGGAAATGAACCCAGCTCACACTGTCCGTTTCTCGCAGCAGCGAGCCGCGCAACGTCCCGCCAACACGGCACCCAGACCCCACGCAGCATTCTGATCTGTTTGTCATTACTGGTGTCATTTTCTGGTTGCTAACGCCATTGTAACACATGATGTTCCGCTGTAACGGTGGTGATCTCATCAGAACAGAGTGGGCGAGCTGACCAATCAGAGCACAGTGGGCTCACAGGGAGGGGGGGGGGGGCAGGAGCTCCAACAAGCCGTTTAGGACAGAGAGTGAATACACATACTATACAGAGATGCTGTATGAGAAACCAATGTGAGTTTGGAACATTGAACAATATAAATCTATTCTAGTAGACCTCAACAATGGAATTATGATCAGTAGAAATGGCCATGTCATGGGACCTTTAAAGTTATGGATTGTAATAGAAAAAAGGAGGAAATTGGGACTTCAATTCCACTTCACTTCATGGTAAATATGTATATATTACAACATCAAATTTGGCAACCAAGGTTTTCATATGTTGTATGATATATTTTCTTATGTAGTTTCAGGGCCTCGTATATGTTTGGTCCCCAGAACTGTATAAGCAATTGTAAAGTTTCTGTTACCTAGGCAGAATTCTCTGTAATGTGGTTCTCTGGCATCTTCCAGCAGTTTCCTCACGAGGCCCTCATGATTCCTAAACTGCGACTTCACACCGATGCACTCTCTCCAACCTGCACGGGGAGAAAGAGAGGAACAAATCATCTCTTATACAATTAGGGAAAACCATTGAAGACATCAAGAACTCATTTGTGGGCAAGACCTGAGATCTGAATCTTCCTATCTCAGTGATTAGGAGAAGAGAGCCATCGCTTTACAGAATGTCTGTGTGCTGATTCACTTTGGCCTGAATTCATGAAAGTGAAACTACAAAGTATTGAATATCTCTCTGTCACTACTTTGGTAATATAGTGGTGCAGTGATGAAATATTAGGGGTATAAGCGCTCCCTTGACAAAAAGGGATAATAGGATTTTTCCCTTGGAATATTGAAGAAAACAAGTTGTTGATGTTTATGATACTTACACGTTTTGTTCAGCAGGGTAACCTCCACATATTACCACCACTTTATAATAGGTGATGTGTAAATGCAATCTCCAGAAGTAAAAAACTAACGTTAGGGTATAAACAAACTACATTACAGTCACATGACTTCACGTCTCCACCGCTAAGCTAAAGGCGGCTAATGTTCACCATGATGACACTGGGGGTGTTTCTCAATCGCGAGTAAAGCTGCTGCAGAGCCACTATTTCAAGCATACTACGTCATCGAGTGCCGCCGTAGTACTGTTCCAATCTCCAGCATACTTGGAAATCTACCGAGCCCGGCGTACTCCGTTTGGAAAAATATCGAGGCTACACATGAGTAGACTCCGCGGTCTTAAAATCCCCACAATGCTTTGCGCACGGACCAATTTCCAAAATCTGTGGCGGAAAATGTAAGACGGGGCCTCTCATATGATGCACACCTGCACACTTGCTAGCCTGTTCCACTCTGTGGGTGTTTCTCAATCGCGAGTACGCTTGCTTGGTAGCACATGTCTGCCGAGCGTCTTGCTTCAGAAGCGAGTCAAGAATACTTCCTGGCATTCGGAAAACGAAGTGTGGAACACGCTAGCAAGTGTGCAGGTGTGCGTCATATGAGAGGCCCCGCCTTACATCTTCCGCCACAGATTTGGGGAAATTGGTCCGTGCGCAAAGCATTGTGGGGATTTTAAGACCGCGGAGTCTACTCATGTGCAGACTCGATATTTCTCCAAACGAAGTACGCCGGGCTCGGTAGAGTTCCAAGTATACTGGAGATTGGAACAGTACTTCGGCGGCACTCGATGACGTAGTATGCTTGAAATAGTGGCTCTGAAGCAGCTTTACTCGCGATTGAGAAACACCCTTTGTTTTCCAAATGTCAGGAAGTATTCTTGAAAATTTCACTCGCAGACATGTGCTACCAAGCAAGCGTACTCGCGATTGAGAAACACCCACATAGTCCTCTCATTGAGAAAGTTGTTAGCAAACACCTCTTTAATGACACATAGAAGCTTCAGATGTTTACTGACGTATTTTATGTTGTAGAACACAAAGTCAAAAATCTAGTAAGCTTTCCTTATTTCAGGCATCTAACCAAAAACCCATTAAAAAGACAATTGACTTTGAGATGAGGGAACCAGAAGGGCTAAAATGCTAAATAATTTCCAGGTTTTAGGACTCATTCCTGCACCACTCTATATTCTTAATGTATTTGGATTTATATTACTATTTCTTTGCCTTTATCCTCAATTTCAAAAATGAATTTAACAGTAGGCTATAAAGTGCAAGGTAACAGCATGTAATGAAGCGTGAGAGAGAGTCGATTACATGCAGCAGATATTATAAACCCCATTCAAACACGAGCACAAGGCCTGGCTTACTCACGGTCGGTGACATCTTTCATTCTCCAAATTTTAATAATTCATTAATCTAGCAGCCATGAGTGGATTCCACTTTTTCACAACAAGTTTGAAGTCAGCCGAGTCATTTCATCACACGGGGACGGAGAGAAAAAGTATTTTCAAAGCAGCGAGGCCACATTCATCAAAGTGTGCAGTTCAGAGTACTCACTGGAGGGGGCAGCGCTGAGGGGGGTAGAGCACTGAGGCGGACCCCATCCCTTCACATTGTAGGCACTCACTCTCACAAAGTAATGCACTCCCTGCGTTTGGAGAAAAAGCAGCAGACCGCCAAATGATCAGCATGCATTAACCTCGTCCTTTCCTGGACATTGAAAGCCAGATGCTGCCGTCATTATACATTCATCTGGTTAGGTAAGGCAGTTGAGTGGTGTAAGTGTTCTCTTATGGAAAGTGGTTTGGTACAGTCTGAGTGAACCCTAGAGCTAATGTATGTGTGTGTCAAGGGCGTCACTCAGTGTTGAAAAGTGGTGAGGGGACATAAGGATTTTTAAAGGGTCTTCAACATATTCACTTTTAGGCAATGTAATGGGGGTAAGGGTAGATGATTACCAAGTTTGGAAACTATGTGAAGAAATGTTTTAAGTTACTGATCAGTACATGCATACTTTTTGGTAATTTTTATAATGAATAAGCTAAGGTGGAACGTTAATTGAATGTTATATTCAATAATAATATAAGCTTTTTCATTTGTTTTCAGTATTTGTTTTGTCAGTAACAGTATAAATTAACATAGCAATAGAAATAGGAGCTATGACTGTTGAGATATACAGAGAAGTGAATGTACATGATACATTTATTTAATGCCTATATTTATATAGATTTTATTCTTGAAATATTAAATAAATAAATTCAATTTTTCGGCGACAATTTGAGGTTTTTAGATTGGTTCTAACAAAGTGGATCAGGGGAACTAAGTGTGAACTTCCTGCTAAATGAATAGCGTTACTTTTTTGTTGAATCATGACATTAATACATTTTGTGGCACACTAGCAAACATTTAAATCTTTAGGTTTGTAGGAAGGTGTATTTTGTAATTGTTACGTTTATTCTGGTTTGTTTTGTGTTTGTACTTTTTATGTGATTTTATACTTATTTGTATGTTTTGTGAGCTGAGCTGTGTGATTTGATATTGTATGTATCTCTCTGTACAGCACTTTGGTCTGGAGGTTTTAAAGTGCTTTATAAATAAAGTTGGATTGGATTGGATTGGATTGGAAGGAATCAGTATTTTTTTCAAAGTGCAGTCGTTGGTGTTGAAGTCCAACTGCTGTTGCAATCTATTCTGATTTGTCAAGTGATCAAGTGTGTAACTGGAGTCCAACTGTGATTCTGCTGTGTGTGCTGTATTTGAAAATACTGCATGACTTACTGCTGTGAGCCCCTTGATACTGAAGGTTGGGTTCTTGGTCTCTGTAACTTGTGTTGAGCCGAGGATGCGTTTGAAGCTGACTGCGGAGCTCCATTCCACTGTGAACACAAAACAATCCCTCTGTCAGGTTATTCTCTGGCTTTACTCAGAGGGAACTGAGGATTTGAGTGTTTACAGTTTCGGGAACGTGCTGTACGTGGGCTTAATCTACCCTTGACTGCAAAGTATGACATTTATGCAGCTGTTAAACCAAACAGAGAAGCTAAAAGACTTCCATAAATATGAGGCTTTTATTCCTGTCAGGCTAAATGATGTGTGACCTTGATTATATTCTTCCTTTATTGAGCCACTAAATTCTCTCTTTAGTTTTGCTCATGCCTCCTACATAATTAATATATCTCCATCCCATCATCTATTATATATTCAAGTCTTTATGACTTTTATTAAAACTCTTTTTCACCACCCACCTCTGGAGCGGGTGATGAGCCCCACGGTGTTTCCCTCCGGCTCTTTGATGGTCACAAACAGAGAGGAGGTGCTGGTCACCAGAATGGAGACGTGACTGGGAGGCCCGGGGAGATCTGGGAGAGATATTAAGACAGACAAATGTTAAAAATAAGCACTACTAATTACTACTGAGGGTAAATGATAATGAATATAACCACAGAGAATGATAATTGTATTGGAATGATTTTACTGTATATGGTCTTATAGAGAGGAGCAGGAATGAAAATCAGGAAATGAGTTAGCATTTTAGCACTTCCTGTTTCCTCGTCTCAAAGTCCAAGTTGTTTTAAATGATTAGATGCCTCAAATAAGGTGTTTTGTTAATACAAGCTAAGAAGGATGTTTAAGTTTTGTTCTATGAAATAAAATATGTCCCCACTGGTGAATGTCTGAAGCTTTTATGGGTCATAACACTGTGCTTGCTAACAAGTGGCTAAACGAGACCATCACACTGAACATTAGCGGCCTTTAGCTTAGCGTTGGTGGCTTTTTGCTAGATTGCATTTATGCTTCAAAAATCTGGGAAAGCCCAGATAGTTGTTCCCAAATGTTTGTTACGACTTGAGTTCACAGGAATTTCTACCCTTCAGACCCTAGAAGAACACACAACCCAGTCTCACGGCATTTTGTGTTATAGTCACGCAATTAATTTAATCTATTGATTCGTGTTCACCAACACGATTTTCCCCTTTTTATTGTTTCACACAGAACGATTTTAAAAGCAATGTATTTCTATTGGTAGTGTGTTTCGTGCCTGCACCACGTCTTTTTGTCCGGTCGGGTCTTGGAAGACCGGAAGTTGTGTGGTTCATAAAAACATTTTCTTACTCAATATCAAGCCACGATTATTGTTTTTATTTGAAATTGTATAATGTCGGACTTTTCTTGCCGTCCGTGAGGAAAATAAATGGAGCTCAGAGCCTCAGAATACTGAAATCTGTAATATCTTTTTTACCTTCTAATTTGTAATGATTTGGTGCAGGCACGAAACATACTACCAATAGAAATACATTGCTTCTAAAATCGTTCTGTGTGACACGAAAAAAAGGGGGAAATCGTGTTGGTGAACACGAAATGCCGTGAGACTGGCATCACAGCAAAAAAAAACAATCCTCAATGATGTGCTCCGTCATTCAGATCCGCTCAAAAATATAATTGGTTCTTCCTTAGCCAATGCTCAACCCTTACACCAAGTTACATACAAATCTGTGCATTTGTGTTTCCGTCTTCCTGCTGATAGATAAACAGAAATGGATACCCCTTGGCGTAGATAATAACTTCTTCCCACACATGTAACATCTGATGTATGTTTAAGTGTTAGTGTTGCACAGGGAAAAAACAGCTACAGTGTCAGGCCAACTCTCAGTGGACAACCCGGATTCATCATTTATTTCCTTCTTTCCTCAAGATTCTCGTTATCCTGGCCGTCAACCTATCAACCCACTGCGTCTTGGTGAAATGTAGAGCTTTTCCTCTCCAAGCTCTGTGTTGCCCCGAGACACTGAATCTCTCCTAGCTCTGTGGGTTTTTATGTTGCTGTTCCTGCACTCTGACTTGCTTTCCTATGAATAGAACCAATAAAAACAGTTTTTAACCTGCAAAATATCTCAATATTAATATTACCTCAGCACTAGCCAAGAAGTGAATAGATGAAAACACATTTATATTTTACATTTTTAACATTTAGCTGACACTCTTATCCAGGGAGATTTATAATAATAAGAGTATAAGCCTAATTTCCTAAGAATGCATATAGACTTTTAACATATTGATAATTATTCAAATCAACATATATGTTAGTGGTTTTAGCTGTTGCTTCCTATCTTTAATTATCTTAACTTATCTTGTCTTTTTTCATCTTATCTTTACTTATCTAATCTCATCTCATCTAATCTCATTTTATCTTAATAACCTGTGTCTTCTTGCTTTTACTATAATGCTGTAATAATAAAATAGGGAAGAGTACATTAAAGAGAAATGAATTGACAGCTAAGTAAAGAAGTTTGAACAGAGCACTTTAGGTAGATACAGAGGGGAATTCATCACATAATCCTTTCAAAAACATGGCAAGCTGAACCAATTAAAAGCCAAGAGGAAGAGGATTTAAACAGGTCGGTCCAGGGAATGTAAGCGAAGATGCTCGATGTATTAGAAACAGGTTGCACCAAAGCCTTGGAGCTTTTTCCGTGTGTGATTTCTTTCCTCCAGCACCAAGGTTTAATTTGATCCAAGCAGACACCGGCAGCTGGTGGAGGGCATGTATGATTTGGAAAGGGCAGTCTGTTGAATTTTGGATGAGTTGAAAAGAGGCCGGACAGACTGGAGAGGCCAGCTGGGTGTTACAAGAGTCCAGACAGGAAATCAGTAAATTCTAAGCGAGAGATTGGCCTGAATACCTGATCACTGAGGTCTTGTCAGCTGTGATGTATAGGTGTTCTCTCTTGAGATTGGGGTTAAAATGTGAAGATAAAATGCAAAAATACTAGATTTTCCTGCAAGCAGTGGTGAAAGTACATTTACTATACTTACACGTTTAAGGAACTTTATTTCAGTTTTTACATTTTCTGCTATTTTTCAATTCTACTACACATAAATATTGTAATTTTTGCTTAACTACATTTGTCTGACAGCAATAGTTACTTTGAGGATTACAGATTTCATTCCCCCATGACAAACTGCCAAAAAACGTGACAAGGCGCAGAAGCTAAACTTGGTGTTCCTCAGGGTACCTTGCGTGGTCCACTTAAACAAAGAAAGGTTATCCACATAAGAAATTAAAAAAAATTAAATGTATTATTATATGCTTATCATCTGCATATAGTGATCAATATGATCCGGATGGACGGGATAACAGTAAGATGTTTCCACTGTAAGTAAAGGATCTAAATGCTTCTTCAAATGGTATATTGAGTGCATTTATAAAGCGCTATTTCAGTTTTTACAACCTTTTAAAATCGCTTTAACATGTACTAGTCAGCATTCATCCATTCACATCCCATCCATACAATGTGCCACCTGCTCAGGGAAAATAACATTCACACAGATTCTAGACCCTCCAGAAAAACGCGGGCTAAAATCCTTGATTATGCGGGCTAAAATCCTTGATTATGCGATTAAACATGCGGGGTTTTTATGTGATTTTATGCGGTGAAGTTGCGAAATATGCGGAAATATGCTAAATATGCGAAAAGTTGCGAAATATGCGGGAGGCGGAAAAAAGGTGATTCTTCTCCCACACCCTGTTACTAGGCTACTACTGAATGAAAGTGAGCCCTTTTAAAGAGTTCCTATGATAAACAAGCATACTAGAAGCAAGCTACATCACAAAGTGTTATTTATGTATTTATATATGGGCTATTTTAATCACTCTCTCACACACACACACACACACACACACACACACACACACTCTTCTCCGCCTCATTCTGTTTTCATTTACTCGTTCGTTATCTGACCAGCTTCAATCTTGTAGGCTACTCACCTCGTTTTTGTAGCCCTCGAAAGGGTTTTGGAGGTTGATGCCTCGGTGAACGTGAGTTGTTTGACTTTCTTGTCCGCAGCAGCAGAAAGCATTTTAGAATGTTTGAATGAATCAAAGTGGGTCGTCACCGTCGATTTTCTCTTATGCTCCAACACACAGTTGCACGGGGTGCAGAATAGTTTCCCCCCACTTTCGTTCAAGACATCGGGGTACTGCTTTGCCCCGTCTTTAGCAGAAATGTTCGTAGGCAAATGAGATGGATTCGATTTTTTCATCTTGGTCAGAGCCGTATAATAGTATAATAGTATATAATAATAATAGTATAATAGTATATAATAATCTATATGGCGCTGATCTTGTTGTTTTCTCTCTCGTGTGAGTTCCACACATTCACTCTACGGTGTTGTTTACCTGCGCGAGCTGATGACATCACTACTTCACGTTAACTTTTTTTTTTTTCCCTCAACTTTGTGTGGAAAAATGCGGGGATTATGCGACCTTTTAATAAATATGCGCCCTTTTAAAAATATGCGCCATTTTGCTGATTATGCGGTAAATTATGCGATCGCATAATCGCGTTTTTCTGGAGGGTCTAAGATTCACACACTTTTGGCCACCCGGAGCAATTTAGGTATCTTAAAGGTCACCTATTATTCAAAATCCACTTTTTCATGTCTTTTCTACATAAACATGTGTCCCCTCTGTGAAAAGAGATTCTGAAAGTTTCAGAAAAAATGACACCCTCTCTTTTTGTCCTGATCCATTTATATAAAAACCTGTCTGGAAATGAGCTGATCAGATTTTGGCCACTTTGTGATGTCATAATGATGTTTTGGCTTGTGTAACCATTAGCCAATCAGCAACCTAACCCCCCCCCCCCCCCCCCCCCCCCACCTTATCACCTGAATCTCCTCCTAGAGCACCATGGTGTTCTTTTTAACCAAATATCTCTCAGAGGGGCGTGGGGAGGGGCTCCTTATTTTCATCTAAAGTAACAGACAGAGAATCAGCACTTTGGAAACAGGGCTGAAACAGAGGGGATTATGGGATGCTGCAATGATCTGTTTGGTGTTTGGAGCCAAACACTTCAGAGACATGTTTTGTATATATATCTGAGACCTATAATATATTGATGAAAAACAGTATAATAGGGGACCCTTAAGTATCTACATGTTGACTGCAGGGGCTCGGGGTCAAACTACTGACTTTCTGATTGGTGGATGACTCCTCTAATTCCTGAGCCACTGTCGCCCTGTGCACGCAAGGCACTTAAAACGCCTGTGACCTAGATGTGTCCCTAGCTGTACTTCAATAAGATGTCACGAGCTGACCCGAGAGCACCGACCTGTGTTGTGGAAGTTCTGTCTCATCCGGCAGTACAGCTGCAGCCGGAGGCTCCAGAGGCGGACTTGTCTCTGGACGTCAGCCTGAGCCTGAGGCCCTGCCCCCGCCTTCCTCGATAACTCATTCTGCTTCTCCTCCACCCGTTTACCCGCCAGCGCCACCAGACCGTCCAGCTTGAATCCCCAGTCTGCCGGTCGGCACACTGAGAGGGAGGGGAAACAGGCGAGGACAGAGCGAGAGAAAGGACAGATTCTGAATATTTTTGCATTTAATTAAATCCATTCACTTCTCAGACGTTTTACTTAAAGGGGACCTATCATGCAAAATGCACTTTTGTACGTCTTTTATACATGAATATGTGTCCCCGGTGTTCCAGGGAACTCACCAAGTGTCAGAAAACACAACCCTCTCTATTTTCCTCCATACCCAAATCTCTAAAAAAGGGGCTGCAACGGATCTGATCAAAACTGATCCAGATTTGAACACTGTCCTGACGTCAGGACAGTGGCGCTACGGCTATTGGGCCAACTCCACCAATCAGGAGGAGACAGCCACGGCCATTGCCGTTCGAAAGCGCTGGATACGCTGTAGTACATATGCCAGGCCTGTAGATGGTGCTGTTCTCACTGAATCTGCCCTTGCAAAAACAGAGCTAAAAAATGTCAATTTGAGCAAAATGAGGCATGGCTAAAATGCATGATCTGTTTGGTATTTTGAAAAAAAAAAAGTATAAATATGCCTTATATAGGTATGGTCCTACACTATATTATTCAAATATAGCATGATAGGTCCACTTTAAGTAAAAGTAGCTGTTGGGAAAATATTGAATGTGCGCTTCCAAATATCAGAGTAGCACATGATAACAAAGGCCCAACTGTAGCTGTGTACATGACAGGATGTATGATTACCTAGAAGAGCATCAGGACTGTTTTAGGCATATGATGTGATTAACATGATGATTCAGCCTCTATGGAGACAGACATATGGCTGCTTACGCAGGCCTTAGCTAATCTGAACTAAGCACAGAATACTGCTTTGAACCGGTATACATGTATCTTGTGACTGAATAACTCCCTCTCTTGTATATCAGCATCTGAAGGACACAAGTTGTACCAAATGCTCTGTATGTGATGACTACTTCCATTCTTGCAAGGATAATAAATACATGTATCCTGATATTGAAGCTCAAGCCGGTGACGAGTGAGATTTTACTAACAGTAGCAATGCTAAATTGTGAAAAATATTCGGTTACAAGTCCTGCATTCAAAATCTTACTTTACTAAAAGTACAAAGGTACTGGCATCAGTAACACCTCTGTTATGCAATATGTCCCCTTTAAGATTATTGTTATAACTGGCTGCTATCTCTTAGTTAGACAAAATCTGTAAATAACTTTGTGCAATATATACTTTTACTTTCATTACCTGGCTGCTATCACATTCATTTCTACATCTTACCCTTGTTTTTCTAAAATACTGCAACTGCTATACTTATTGTTATCCACCTGGATGTGTGCTTTGTACATTTTAATTTGTGTAGTCTCTATTTTTCATATTTTGTGCATTCTTCTTAATGAATATTTTGCTAATTTTACAAAATAGTGTATACTTCAAATATTTTATTGATGTATATATTTTCTACTGTTGACATGTATATATTCTTTCTTCTTTGATTATGTTGTTGACTCAAGTGTAATGTATGTTAACAAACTGCTGTGACAAAATACATCTCCATTTTGTGTAAATAAAGTACTTTTATCTAATCTAATCTATACTTAATACTATACTTGAGTAAATATTCTTCATTACGTCCTACCACTGACCACCAGCATAAATGTACATTCCTGTTGTCATCTTGCAATCTATTTTTTTTTTTATAAATAGTCATCACCGCAATAAACCGTATTTAATTTTGTCTTAATTTACATTATTTAATTTCATATTCTGTTCTTGTATATATCCCATATTCTATTGACATGTATATAGACTTTTTGCACTACTTTTTATTTTGTATTTTATTATATATGTTGCATTGTTAGAGGAGCTCAGGTCAGAAGAATGTCATTGCCATTTCTACACTGTCGCTTTGTGCATATGGCAATAAAACCTTTGAATCTTTAATCTTGAAATTGCATTTAAAAATCTTACATGTAGGGTTATGTCGGGCTCCCGCCTTCGTCAACACATGGAGGAGAGGGGAATTGTGGGTAAGGGCAGCGACGTCCAGGGGGACCAGGCCCTGTTCACTCACCCTGTTCACCCCCCTCTCCCTCTCTCTCTCCCAGTCCTTCTCCTTCTTCTCCCCTCTCTCCCCACAGACCCCCTCCCCCTCCCCCTCCCCCTCCTCCTCCTCCTCCTCCGGCAGCATGATTGTAGTCTCTGGACAGCAGGCTTTGTACAGCCAGAGTATCCTCATTTTCCACTGCTTCCCACAAGGTCTTGTACTAATGGGGGAGAAGGGGAGAAGAAAGGATTGTGCGGGTGAGGAAAGAGGAGATCAAACGAGAGAGATTTATTTTATGAGGGAAGGGGAGTTGCTGTATGGAGACAGGAGGACACATAAATCAAATCATAAATCAGTGTCTCCTGGGAAAATGTATTCATAGTGAAACAGAGTTATGTATTGTCAAAATAAGATCTCGTAATAAAAAAAGAATCTATAACCCTGCCAGAGGACATTTCAGACCCAACCTTGAAATATTGTGGTGCAGGAATGAGTCCTTAAACCTGGGAATGAGTTAGCATTTTGCCACTTGTGGGAAGTCAAAAGGTCTGTGATCAACACACGCTGAAGATATGTTCACGTCTGTGCTACGATATAGAATACGTCACTAAAATACCCCACTGGTGAATGTCTGGAGCTTTTAAGTGTCATTAAAACAGTGGTTGCTAATTAGGCTACTATTTTAATAAAATTGAGTGGTGCAGGAATGAGTCCTAAAACCTGGAAATAACTTAGCATTTTAGCAGTTCTGGTTGCCTTATCTGGAAGGCAATGCTTATTTTAACGTGTGTTTGGTTAAATTCCTGAAATAAGGTCTGTGGTATTTACTGACAAGCTTAAGAGATTTCTACGTTTTGTTCTACGACATAAAATGTGTCAGTAAATACCCCGGTAAATGTCTGATGCTTCTATTAAAAACGTTGGTTGCTAACAAGCGTCCAAATGAGACAATTAAAAGTCATCACGCTGGGAAAATCCCATTGGCTTTTTCCCAAGGGAGCCCTTGAGATGCTAACTTCCGAGTCGGCCTACAAAGATATAGTAACTGTTCCACTTCATGATGTCCAAATATCTTACAGAATCTGCAGACTTGCTGAAGTGTTTGGTTGTGTCCAATTCCCTGGAAACAGATGACTCTCCGCCCCTCAGTCTGACGGACAGGTTTCTGTAGATGCGTTTGGGCGAAACTGGACCCAGGGAACGCCGGCGCTGGACTTGATTCCTCATGGATACAGACATGACAGGAGAGAAGAAGAGGGAAACAGGAAATAGAAAGAAGAAAGAAGAAGAAACAGTGAGGGGAGTGAGGGATAGGTTAGTTCATGGAGAGAAAGATTAGGACCCCCAAACTAAGAGCCATAGAGAGAGAAGAGGAGAAAAGTGGCATTTGAATCAGAAAATGAGGAATGAAGAGTGTGAAAAAAGGTCAAAGTCATTAGAAACCTGGAGGGCGGAGAATGAAGTGAGAAATAAAAAGAGTGGGAGAAAAAAGCAGAATTTATAGTCAGTTTCAAACAGATTCTTCTACAGTAAATGCAATTTTCTGCCGACTTGACAAGTAAGTATGGGCAGAGCTGAGTAGTGCTGTTGTGTGGGTGGATAAATGGACAAAAGTTACAACGCCTGGATGAAAAATGCCTCAAAGCATTTATTATCGTGCTTCTTACCATTCTCCTCTTTATTCTTCTTTGACTCACTATTATGTGACACGGGTTTAATTCGCTTTGAATGGAGTCTGTGAGCGCACAAAGCGACCGACCCATCCATCTAATTAACTGAAGAAGAAGCAATCTCATGTGGAAAGAGACAAAATATTCTTCCCTTTTATAATAAATATGAATCTCTTTTTGCATCATTGGCTGGAAGATAAAAAATCCATCATCAGCGCCGCAGTAATGATGGTTCATTATCAATCCCGACGCTTTTTCATCATTACAATCAGTCACTTTTTGAGGCTGAAAATCTGTCACAAGTTTTTATTTTTTTGCGAAATTCAGTCTGGCTCTCCCCTCATCTCGTTTCACCCAGCAAGTCTTACATTTGTCATTTGTCTTTCTTCTCATTCCCTTTCTCCTCACAGCCCTACAGTTTGAAGTGACTTTGACGTCGCTTCGATTTACGTCATGCCCCGAGGATACAGATCTTTGAAATAAAAAAAGGGGGACATTCAAACTCTATCCTCTCTGTCATCTCTCACATCAACGCTTTCCCATTTACGTAGAAGCCTCAAATTTCAGCGTTTTTTGTAATCCGAATCAATTCAAGCCCTGAGTAGTCCACTGTCCTTGAGTGAAAGTGAATACTCCCCGGGTTGGTGCTATCTGAGGAGACAATGTGAGATCCACATTGCTGTTGGACATGCTTCCTCTCCGGCTTGCACAGTACCTGCACTGTCTCTGTGTGTGCGTACTATAAGGGTGATAATACCAGCCATTGTTATTGGTACAGTTTTCCCCTGTTTGTTTATTATGCCTTACACCAGTTGTTGAAAGTGCTGATAGGACAGTTGAGAGAGGGGGATTAGTGTTAGTGTTTGCCTTTTTGTCCTAAAGCAGCACAAAGGTAAGACGTTGGAAATGTCACGGTACGTAAAAGATCTCTGAAAATATCACGGTGTCACGGTATACGGTGATACTCTCACTATGATTATCAGTTACAAAGATCCTTAACAGATCCTTTTACATAACTGAAGCATGTTAGCAGCACTTTAGCATGTTAAATCAACTACAAAATCAAAAATAACATCAATAAAAATAAAGGTTTTAGCTTTTAAAATAAAGTTCTATGATATTAAAGGTAGGGTAGGTAAGTTTGAGAAACCGGCTCGAGATACACTTTTTGTTATATTCCATGGAATGCTCTTAACATCCCGATAGCAATGAATATCTTAAGTGCTTTGACAAAAAATCCATAAATAAATGTCATCTGTGGAAGCCGTAGTACTGTAAAAAGCACGACCAATCATTTTAGCCGGCCCGGCTAAAATAACTGGATGGCCTACCTGCCTGTCAGCCTTCCATCTGTGCACAAACTTATCTCGTGCCCTCATTGGTCATGTGCGCGTTCGTGTGTGTTGGAGGAGGGGCTCTGTAAGGAGTGGCAGATTTTCTCCCGTTGTGTATTTTCAAATTCTAGCGCACTCAAGCTGGTTTCTCAAATGTACCTACCCTACCTTTAACAATTAATATTTGCAATAGGCTCTCCTGACTGTACCTTTAAGGTTAAACCAATACTCAGTTATGTCAGTTATTTTACTATTTACAACTTTTGTTTACTCACTACTGAGAGTCAATGTTATCTCAATGTATATGTGATACTAAAATATAACAATATGTATTTAAAAAACAACATGCCAGCAGAAAATGCCAATTAAATAACAAAGTGCCCACTTATTCGCAGGTCAAACTGTACACAAACCAATAAAGTATATTATGTAATAAAAGAGAATATATATAAATACAGTATAATTGTAGAAAGGATGTACAGTAGGGATGGTCAATTTGGTTTATCTATAGAAGCAATGTTAAAAATCCTTCCTTTTCATTTATACCCTAAAATTGTTTGTAGTTTAAGTCGCTTAATACACAGAAAATGGCAAAAACGACTTTGCACTACACAAAAAGTACTGCAAAATGTATTCAAACTACGAGTTTAATTTCCCGGCATTAATATACACAGTTACAACCCTAAGAGCATATCAGTTATGTGAGCAGGGTTATGCTTTAAACGACCCCATATGCAAAGCCATAAACAGACACAATAGCGTCATTGTGGTTGTGCTGCATGTCAGTATCTCAGGCTGTGGTGAAGTTGGGTTTTTATCTCAGTACTGCAGGCCCAAACAATGAGAGTAAAGTCTGCTGCATATTTAAGCTTTCTGTTTAGTCAGTCTCCTAAATTCTTTGGCTCATGAGTTCAGATGTGCATGGAAACATCTGATGACTAATACTTCTAATCCCACAGGAAGTGATGTTGTTCGTTTATTTCTGTGAATACACCACAGAGGACACACAACCTTTACAAGTTGTCAGCATACAGTGTGTTATGTTGTTCCCAAAAAGGCATTTTAAACACTAATGTTATGTATCATTTTGATTAAGAGGATAAAAAAGAGAATCTTGTGTCAAGGAAACAAAGGTTTGGACATATTTTCTATACATTACTGAAGAATAGTTAGTTGCAACCCTTTGTGTGCATGAGTACAGTTCATATTAAAGGCAGTAACAGGAGCCAGGCTCGAGCTAGTCATTAGCTAGCCATATGTAATTTGGAGCTTTGATGGACATAGGGACAACATAATATTATTAGTATTATATGCAAAAAAATCTAAAAACATTGACACCAATATTAATATCAGATTATTATAAAAATATTTAGGGACATACAATGCAATGCAAAATGAAGTCAATGTAAAAATCCATTTACCTATAACTTCATAACTGAAGAAACAACAGCAAAGCAGTAGTCAAGAAAATGGTAAGTGACCCACTACAGCTTCCCTTATAATAAAAAGTTGGCAAACCTTTTAAAATTAAATCTACAATCTAAAAAACGTTTTAAAAAAGCATGTAAATCAGCGTTAAATTAAATGTACTTATAAATTAGAATATGTGATAAAAGGAACCTCAGATATTACTGAAGCTACTATAGGTTATTCATCTTAAAAAAACGCACTTTAGACTAATTCCCCTCTAATATAAAAATATATCATGCATGCATCGTCCATAGTTGTCCATTCGTGCAACAGGTTAAAAACACTTCGGCAAGAAGGAGCAAAAAGTAGCCCAACAGTTGTAAAGAATTGCAAGCTTTCTTACCGTAAGTCTTTACTTTCACTTCAACCGGACTTTCCTTGTCTACTCAGATAAAATATAATCCATCGCACCGACTTGAGGAGTTTTCACCTCTGAAGCGCACCTGAACGTTTCACCCGAGTGAGAGACTGCCGCTTCTACCGCGCACACACACACACACACACACACACACACACACACACACACACACACACACACACACACACACACACACACACACGCACACACACACACACACACACACACACACGCACACACACACACACACACACACACGCGCGCGTCTTCTTTGCCCCGCCCTCTTCCTACTTATCTAACTTTTTATTCAACTGCAAAGAATGTGTGTAATATAAACAGTACCTCCGGGGTATATACTGTGTCCTCCTTCCTTTCTCTTTCTCTTCTCTACTCGGACTGCAAGCCAGCAACATGTGCTTTTCTGCTCCTCAATAAAGTTACCTTTTGCACCTTCGATGCACCGCCTCCGACTCCTATCTCTCGGCACTACAGCAACATGATATGCTTCAGTGTGGTGTTTACATTTATTTTCTACATTTATCCATTTTATTATAACTTTTTATACTTATTTCATTTTTCATTTTTAATTGTATCTATGTAATGCATATTGTCTTATGATGTTTATAGTATTAAAATATTTATACTATTTATTTACATTATTGTATGTATTCATTTTCTTAATATGTTTAAAATATTAAAACATATTAAAAAAACTTTTTAAAAGTATATATTTACTTAAAAAAAAAAATTCTAAAATGAGGCAACCATCAGAACGTCAAATGTTCTCAGGATAAATAAAGTATTCTGGTATGTGATTAATCATTTGGTAATTTAAAAACCTATAGTTCAAAATGTCCATCCAAGTTCTTCAAAGTCCGAGCTAATGTTTTTGAATGTCTTTTTTGTCAGTCTAAAATGTCATGATATTATTTTATTTAATATAGAACATAGAAATGCAGATAATATCCACATTTGCAAGGCTTGGCAGTGAAGCAGCTTAGCAGACAACACACTCCTGCAAAAGGTTGTCAGTCTCTACTGCAGTTAAATGTAGCTGCAGGCTTGTAGTGGTTCAGTAGGCAAATGTATTATAATGACCCTTACAAAACAAGCTGAGCTTCTTTATGACTTGTAAATGTCATTGTGACTGGAAACAGTACTGAGCAGAGTGATGGTGTGACAAAGTGTGGGTTGGTGACTGGAAAAAGTTATAGTTATATTTAGGGTTGCTTAACACCCCCCAGTGATGTCACTGAAAGGGTTTCTTAATCTACAGTATACTGCATGATTGTTTTACACTGATGTGTACGTGTGTGTGGGGGGGCTATAAACAGGAAGTGGTTCAAGATATATGAAGCCGAATGTGAGCAAAGCAAAGGCCCAGCACTGCTCGCATGTTAAGACTCCACTTATGCTCGGACAGAGGCTGAATCCATTTGTCTCTGTGCTTTATTGGCCCCTGAAGAATTGTGTCTTTGCAGTTGTCAAATAAAGTTGACAGATATGCATCGGCTCCCACTTGAGCACTGAGAGAGGCTCTCTGTTACTTTCTGTGTCAGTTTCTCTCTCTCAGGGGCCAATAAACTCTGAGACTGAAAGATTTAGCTCCTGTCTGAGCACAAATGGAAGATTTGGAAACAAATATTTTCCACCTGCTTGTCTTAGGTCCTTTAACAAGGCCACCAATTTGTCAAAGGCGACACACACACACACACGCACGCACGCACGCACGCACGCACGCACGCACGCACGCACGCACGCACGCACGCACGCACACATACACACACACACACACACACACACACACACACACACACACACACACACACACACACACACACACACACACACACACTCTGGCTGCATGTCATGCACTACACTGATGACGCTCATGAGGTCTGTTTAAAGAGAAGTGGGGAGAGATATTAGAAATTGACATGTCGGTAGTGGTTGATACTTGCCTCCACACTCTCTTCATCAGATAGTTGCTCGGTTGCCAAGAGGTTTTTGTTGTCATGGCGATAACCAAATTGTGGCCCTCACTGCTAAATTATACTGCAGAGCAAACCCATGCATCACACCATAAACTCACAGCATGTTGTCCAGCAGTGACAATCGCTGGAGGATGAATTCAGAGTGATAGATCATCTTAAAGATAATTTATGGGTTTTGCTCAAATGTAAGACATCAGTCTACCCTTGAACTCCAGAGACTTTTGATAACAACAATGGAGAAACAAAACCCTAATGAAGAAACACATGCAGGCCCTTTCCCAATCACTACCAACAGTCGAAATGTTTAAAATAACTCCCATCCCAACCAATTATTGAGTATTGAGAAACAAACATTATAGCCTAATTGTTGCAATAATGAAATGTCATAGTTTCATTTTAAATAGCTGAACTTTATGCCCCATTTTATTCTTATTATGGCATCATGGACTAAAACAAACGTAGGCTCAATATGGTTAAAAAAATATTCAAAACATATTAGAGGGAATTTGTATCATATCTATCTCTATATTTATCTTTATAAATCTATGTATATATAAACTATTTATTTCTATTGTCTAGAACTACATTTTACTTTAACATAGAATAATTATCTTGTAAGTTATTTTATAACATAGGCATATAGTCAAGGAAAAGTACCTGTAGGCCTACTTGTGTATTTCTTTTGATAATAACCTAAATATAAAATATCTATCGCTATATAATCATTGGGCTTAGTTAATTTTACTTTTACTGAAATAGATATCTAGTAAATACTTGTATAACTGAGGCCAAGTACTTGTGCCTTTATGTTTTTTGTACGTTGTACGTTTTTTGTTAAATAAAGTTTTGGGGATTTAAAAAAGATGCTACAGAAACGCGCCACTTTCGCCAGTTGCCCCCATACTAGTTGTGTGGACTTTCATCATCTGTATCATTTTAAAGTTTCATGGTGAGTTAACTGAATTTAATATATGTATTTTATGTTATAGCGTTGTTAAAACTAGTAAGCATATTTAGGTATAACTTTAAAACAAAAGTAGCCGTGTCAACAACGGACATTCATGATGACGCAGTTTGAAAGCTAGCTAGCTTAATGTTGTACATTAGCTGGTTTTATTATGAATGTATTGTTTTGCTAGATAGAATATCATTAACAAATAAAAACGGGACAACAAGTACGACTCCAGGATAAAGAAATGTTTACTTCAACGTTTAGTATGGACGCAGATATGTTTTTTTTTGTACAGTACATTTCATTTTTTGGGGAAATTTCATATTCATAAAAAGAGATGGACTCAAAATTCTCAAAAAACGAATTGTGTATTTAACAAACAATTAATCTGAAATATGAAACTGTATTTTTATTTTTTCTTTATTTAATGTAATGTTTTATTACTTAATATGTCTACCCCTGATATAACTTCTTGTATAATCAATTATTTTCACATGTGCTTGAAACATTAGCCGGTTAGCTTAGCGATAGCTAGCTTGTTAACTCACCCGGTTGACTTCCGGTTATAGTTGAGAACCATGGTGTATATTTTCTGTTTCAGCAGGTTTAAAGGACAACATGACAGGCGTGGATATTGTTTATGATAAGATCCACTTCGGACACGACCCGAAGTGGAGCGGCCGGCTGGGGCCTGCGGAGGGCGGCGGGCTGCTGCTGTGTGTGGCCTGTGTGGTGGAGATGATCGAAAGTGAAGATATAGCGGTGAGAAATACCATCATAAACGTGTTTTTAACCAGTGGTGGAAGAAGTATAATAATAACTATTCATTAAATGTTTTATTAGAGCGCTTTTTCAAGTGCTCAAAGCCCTTTACATTACATATTACACATTAAGTACTCACCTGTTTTCAGTGGTGGAATGTAGTTCAGTACATTTACACAAGTCAGTTATTAAATTACAATTCTGAAATAGTTATACTTTACCTGAGTATCTTAAAGTTATGCTACATTTTGGGAGTGGTGGAAAGTAACTGAGTTCATTTACTCAAGTACTGTACTTAACTAAAATGTTTTATAGTAGACTATCTGTTGAAGGTACAAAAAAAGTAGAATTATCCAAAATACAACAAAAAGTACGTATATTTTTATATCAAAACTTTGTTTATCTACAAGAGTAACATGCTAATTGATGCAATACTACTATCATATTATCTAATAATGTCATATATATAATATAATAATCAATTACACATGGAGGCTATTTTCTGCAGAATTACTACTTTTACTTTTTATACTTTAAGTACATTTTGCTAACACTTCTGTACTTTTACATAATGAGTGCTTGTACTTTCGGTACTTAAGGTATATTACTACTTGAGTACGTTTTTGAATGTTAGACTTCTACTTGTATCTGAGTATGTTTAGGCTGTAGTATTGCTACCTTTACTTAATTAAAAAGATCTTACTACCTCCTCTGCTTAACTTAACTCTTCTATACCCCCCCTCTCTGTGGTGTGCAGTCTGTGAGGAAGTCTTTTGCCTTGTCTGGGATCAGCGGGGTGCTGAAGTGTTCTCCAGGGGCTCTGAGAGAGCTGCTCAGACAGGACCACCGAGTCTCTGTGCGCTTCACAGCTTCTCTACTGGGTGAGAAACAGTGAAATTAATATGTGAAGGAAGGAATAGCAAGTGCTTGACTTGCATATCCCAGCTGTCCTGTCCGTTTTGCTGCATATAGTACGCTTATAAATCAAGATTCTAAGGCTTTAGTGTCACATGCACGATTACATTACATGTTACTTGTTAGACGCTTTTATCCAAAGCGACTTACATACTCAATACTTTGGGCAATCCCCCACAGGAGCAATTTGGGGTGAAGTGTCTTGCCCAGGGACACAACGACATGCTGACTGCAATGGGGTTTGAACCTGTGCCCCCCTGATCCGAACACCAACGCACTAGACCACTGCGCCACACGCCTCCTCACTTATTAGCTACAGCATAGTTTTTGGCAATGAAAATCTGAAGTACCAGGCTCCACCGATAATGCAACATACTATGCTTTAGACATACAAATAAATACAACAGTTTATTGGTGGAGTAATCTTTTTTTGTTTTATCCTACACTGCTGGGTGTAGAGGTCCTTCATAGATTTATTTTTGTAAGCTGACCCAGAAGTTAGCATCGCCTCAACAAAGTCAATGTGATTTTCTATTAGATTTTGGAATATTGCAGATAATGAGTTCTGTGGCAAAAACACCAAAAATAAAGTAACAATCTACCGTTAGTCTTTAAAGAAACTACATCAAGGTCCCATGACTTCACGTCACCACCACTAAGCTAAAGGCGGCTAATGTTTACCATGATGACGTCTAGTCGTCTCATTTAGACACTTGTTAGACATATAGAAGCTTCAGACATTCACCAGTTGGGTATTTACTGACTTATTTTATGTTATAGAAACAAACTTGAAAATATCTTCAGCATGTGTTAACCACAGAGCGTGTTCCAGCTAACAAAAAACTAATTAAAAAAACATTGACTTTGAGACAACCCACTACATGGTTGGCAGTCATAATGTGGTTATGTGTTTGGAAGTAGAATCAACAGTAAGTGTAACTGAGCATTCTCCATTCGATATTGACCATCTCTAACCAGCACAACTTGTTTTGGACATGTAGTTGTCTTGAGTTTGCTTATAAAAGTTGACTTCCTGTTACTAATTTCCCCTCGGTCAGTCCACAGTTGTGCTGGTGCTGCAGTCATATCACTTCTCCTCCAAAAGGTCAGACAGAGCAATGGAGACAATAGATTTGATCGTGATACCTGAGCTGTAAAACACAGAAATATCCACAATGTTCAACATAATACAGTTAAAAATGGATTCACCTAGATAATAGAGTTGACATGCTGCTTTTCTTTCATGTTAGGCATAATTAAAGTACAGACTTCTGTGGATTATTCTAATGTATTACATTTACTGATGGCATTTACTGGGCAGATTTTTACATTAAGTACTGATTACATTTTGTTCCCGTTAATATAATTGTCGTTCCTTCTCTACAGCTATATTAAATCAAATGTGTGTTATTGCATAGTTGTGTATCTAATTGACAATCTGAAAATCATTGACATTGACATGGATTACATTCAAGTGGACAGCTTTGTTTCTTTGCTCACTGAGCAGAGTATTACACTGCATGATTAGATTATTATGATACAATTCAGGATGATGAGAAGCTTTGAGCGAGCAGCTAACTGCCAAGACTTGGGAACTCAGAGTGCTAAAATGCTAACTCATTTCTGTGTTTAGGACTCATTCCTGCAGTGTGTTGTGTTTAATACTTGTCTGCCAGAGCCAGTACATTATCCTCACTACATTGAACCTTTTATAGGATATGATATTATATAAGGATGGTAGGTAAAAAGCACTGGTGTGTTAGTTTAATACATTCTCTCTCTGCCCCAGCTTTAAGTACACCTCAGTTGGTTTTATAAACCCATTCTCATCAGAGGATATTACAGACTCTTGCTCCTCTCGGTACCAATTTCACTTGGTTATTGCAGCATGAAGTATTACGCCATTTGAGCTCTAATCAAATTAGTGAAATGAGAGGATATATAAGCTCTGACCAATGTGACAACACATTAGAAAAGCCATTATGGTGCTTGAGGCTTTGGTCTGCTGAACTGAGCTTCACCAGGTGCCAATGAGAGGGTAATACAAGATATCCCCTACTTCACATTTTGGGTAGCATTTATTAAATGCCATAAACATTTGATAATTTCTTGCAAACTTTTCTAAATGACATGGCTTTTTCTGCTCTTACATCTTTTGTATAATCTTGCTAAACCTACCCAGGATGCATTAGATGTGACCTTTGTGACAGTACATCATGATCATGATGAAAGTGCAGATGGAAAATAACGTATAGCTAAATCTGGAATAAATCATCTCTTGTTTTTTGGAAAACAATGTATTTTATGCATGTGATTGTTCAGCTTTTGTTTACTTGCTGCGCCTCTGTGAGACTTCTGAACAACAACATGGGTTTGTGAAGTCTACTCTTAAATCTACTCAAACTAGCATGTCATTATTTGTCTCTCCCCAGGTATGCTTCACACCGTGGAGGACCAGGCCACTCTTGAAAAGGTGGATCAAGGTGAAGAGATGCCTCTTAAGGCGCATTTCCACTGCAGCACGTAGCACGGTTTAAGCGTGCCGTGCCAAACCCGGACCGTTTTTTGTTGTGTTTCCACTAGGGGTAGTTCCGGCTAACGGGTACTTTTTCACAGTTTTTCTGGCCCTCCAAAATCGTGGTTCTTTCCGGGCCAACAACCGGGCTGAATATGCTAAACTAGTGAGAGAATCGCTGGCTAGGGGGCTACAACTACAAAACAATGAACATATTTGACCGTGATTTAATTGTAATACACGTTTCAAAATGATGCCGAAGTAACAACATACTGATACCGGTTAGTAAAAACCATGAATTAATGCTTTGACAAGTCTGCAGACAGACGGCAGAGAAAAACCTTTTAAAATGCGTGTTTTCTAAATGGAGATCAGCTAAGCTAACGTTGTATATGCTCCGACCGTCCACACTCACAACAACGGCCTACAGACATAAATAAAGCAGCGACTGTATTCACCATGACACAGGCAGTCTGTGGTTTGTACTTGTTTAACTTTTGTCTAGTTTCTGAACAGATATGAAGAGCTGTGAGCTCTGAGTGCTAACAGCTAACGGCTGATGTTTTGTGGTTCTCATTGAAGATGACGTCACGGCTCCGCCTACACTGCGTTACTATAGTTACTGCCTCAGCTACTAAACTGTAATGGAAACGCAGCATAAAGTGAGCCTGGCCTACCAAGGCCTAACTATACCGTACTAAGCCGTGCGAGGCCCTGCAGTGGAAATGCGCCATTAGTGGTTTGAATATTAAATGTGTGTGCCCCCATACGCCAGTGGTGGTAGTAACTATGTACATGTACTGTATTTAAAGAGGCCCTGTCATGCCTTTTGGGGTTTTCCCTTTCCTGTAGTGTGTTATATAGGTTGTTGTGCATGTACATTGTTTGCAAAGGCTAAAATCCAGAGTCAACATTGAAGTGGTGTGCAATTAAATCAATCAATCATTATAGGTATACTAGTGATTATAATAGTTATATAATATATAAATATGAAAGTGGCCATTCTACCGAATCAGTACTTTTACTTTTAGTACTTCAAAGATGTTTTGAATGCAGAACTTTTACTTGTAATAGAGTATTTCTGCACTGTGGTTTTGCTACGTTTTACATAGGTAAAAATATCGTAGTACTTCTTCCACCACTGCATATACCCTGTTCACATTACCCCTACATAGAGACACATACTTTTTCTGTAGATGATATAATGCAGACAGTGTGAGACTGCACACACATATAAAGACACACAGGCTATGAGTCACTCTTCATCAAAGACTCTTACACAAGAACTCTCTTTGGGACTGTTAATGGTCACTGCTGGTTACTAAGGTGATCTTACATCAACCCCACATGTTTCTAAATTTAACATTTGTGAGGGCTTTGGCCTTCATTCTCTCATATTTGTTCACTGCTACACTCTGCAGTAACTTTTCTCTTTGTATTTAACGATTAGCTTAGCGGATTCTGCCTTAATGTCGGCCTCTCGTTGAACTTGTTTTTAAAGTCGGATTTGTCTCACTTGCAGCTAAGTCTGTACAAATGCAAAGACTGTTTTTGCGAAGTGCAAATGAGAGAATGATTTTATGGTAGCTGTCTACTATTACAGCTAAATGCTCCCTAAGGTAATTCCAGAGTGCTTAGTGCTTAGTGCTGTGTGTGTGTGTGTGTGTGTGTGTGTGTGTGTGTGTGTGTGTGTGTGTGTGTGTGTGTGTGTGTGTGTGTGTGTGTGTGTGTGTGTGTGTGTGTGTGTGTGTGTGTGTGTGTGTGTGTGTGTGTGTGTGTGTGTGTGTGTGTGTGTGTGTGTGTGTGTGTGTGTGTGTGTGTGTGTGTGTGTGTGTGTGTGTGTGTGTGTGTGTGTGTGTGTGTGTGTGTGTGTGTGTGTGTGTGTGTGAAAGAAGGGGAAAGATGTGTCGAAGCCAGCATAATAGGACTAGAGCTAAACCTTATATTTAAGGTTATGACAACAGAACAATTTTGATGGCATTTGCTTAAAACCGAACTAATCCCATAATCCCTAAGGGCATGTGTACACATAGCGCCACACACACACACACACACACACACACACACACACTCTCTCTCTTACTGGAGCTCTTTGAAATGCAATTGAATACCTCTGCATTATAGCAACAATAATAATAGCAATAATAATTGGGAGGGGGGGCGCAGCTGTTCTTATGTTCTCTGAGGGGAGGCTCACCTTCCCACACTTTGAAAACCCCTGCTCTAAAGTATACACTGACTTGCGCTCAGCAAATAAACACTGGGTGCAAAGCTTTTTCTTCAGGCGGTATGCGCTCTTTTCTCACTAAAAAAGATGCTAACGCTTGGAAAAAGGCGCTATGTGGACAGGCCTTAATGAGCGCGACACACATCACCACAGTTTATCACAAAACAAATTATTAAAAAACATAACTCATTTTTGGTTAACAAATACCTTTAACTGTTAGTTGCTACTGCGGTTTTTGATTTTTCTTACATTTGCAGCGTTTTTCCTGGAAAAGTGGGAAATTTTACTGAACGGTGATGTTTATTTAATGAATGCTTCCCTGTTGTGTTTGATACTCGTCGTGTCGGTATTAATGCATATGTTTTTGTGTGTGTTTGTCAGTGCTGGTTCAGCTGCTGTTGGAGCTCCAGAGCGAGCTGTCATACCGTTTTGTTTTGGAGGAAATACACAAACAGGTGAGGCAAACACATTTAGAGAAACACGCCCGCTCATCTCCACATGCAGCTGCAGAACACGCATCAACAGCTTAAAATATTTACCAGCGCGTGTGAAATCGAACAAGCTTCCTGGGGTTGTTTAGTAAACAGATAGCGTGCTCCTCTCCCTCTTGCTGATGTTTTGTCACCCCTGGGAAAGGCAGTTGTGCAAAAGCCTCATTCAGCAGCCGAAGCCTCAGCTGGAAAATAATAAAGCTGTGTGTACTGTTGATGACAGGAAGATATAACAGGAGGGAGAGGTGCAGACAGTTCCCATGTATGCTGCTTGAATAGAGCCTGATTAAAACATTTTCAAGAGCATTTATTTAGGGACCCTCTTGAATGTTGTCACGAATACTGGAAATTTGAGCTGAGAATATGTCTTTCTGTGTTCTGAAAATAATAAATGACAGGAATATTTCTCAGATTACCATCAAAAAGGATTAGGAGCATAGGTGGAAAGGTGAATGGAGAAGTACTTTTTTCCAGGCCAACCCGGAAGTTAGCATGGCAAAGGCTCACATGACCAAAAGTAATGGAGTAAAAAGCTAAGGTTTGGCTATAAAGGAACTACATCAAGGTCACATGACTTCATGTCACCACCGCTAAGCTAAAGGTGTTAGCCTGTTAAGTGGTGTCATTTAGACACTTGTTGGCAACCACCATTTTTAAGACATGTAAATGCTTCAGACATTCACCAGTGGGGTATTTACTGACATATCTAATGTCGTAGAACAACATGTGAAAGTCTCCTTAGCTTGAGTTAACCACAGACCTTATTTCAGGCCTGTAACCAAAAACATTTAACATTTCATTGACTTCAATAGTAGTGAACCCAAAAGAGCTAAAATGCGTAGAGTAGTCCTAACTAAATAACCGAGTTAGGACTACTCGATTGGTGTGTTCAAGTACTTGCTTCCACGTCTGGCCGAAAAGCGTAGATTTAAATAATCCTACACAATGTCATAGACTGTCTCTGTGTAGCGTATCTGCTTGTTCATCTTGTGCCTTATACCTACAGTATACTGTATTCTCTGAAGCTTTACATTGTTGTATATCAAGTCTTTTTATGTTGTGCTCTACTTGCCCAGCTGAATGACCAGCTCAATATGAAGAGTTTCCTGCCCACCTTCACCTTTTTGGGGAACCTGGTGGAAGCAGTCCCCAACGTGGCCCAGAGTCTGGTGACCCAGTATGGTGAGGCACATTTCACAGTTGTATTGTGACAGCTATAATAAGTGTATAATAATTATTTTGGTCATGATGTCCTTATTGTGACATGTGATAACAGTGTGAGAAGTTTCCAGCATTCCACACTGACATTTTAAACGTTATGAATCAGGCTACTCATAGTTCCTTTTTGCCATACTTTGCATTGGGACAAACTTAAGGTTTACACTCAAAAAAGCACAAGTTAGTACGCCGTACGCAAATGAAGACACAGCAGCAGTTTTTCACGAAAACATAAATAACAACAAAGTGATCAGCGATTAGTTACAGAGCCTAAAAGACAAAAACAAGGCATATTGTCAGCCAATCATATCATTTTGCCTTGTTAAGTTTATAGATACTGGACACAACAGTGATGTCATTACTGAGAGATTGACATTTAGAGAGTTGCATATTGTTTTGGGGAAGAACAGAGACTGCAAAAAGGGAGGAATTATTTGGTTTTGTTTGAAAAATAACTAAGTTTGGATAAGGTGAGATCCCATCTTAAAGGTGGGGTAGGTAATTCACTTCAGAAACACTTTTTGTTATATTCCATGGAATGCTCTCAACATCCCGATAGCAATGAATATATTAAATGCTTTGACAATAAATACATTAAAAAAAGTCATCTGTGGAAGCCGTGGCGCTGTAAAAAGCACGACCAATCATCTGAGCCGGCCCGGCTAAAGTAACTGGATGGCCTACCTGCCTGTCAGCCTTCCATCTCGTGCACAAACTTATCTCGTGCCCTCATTGGTCATGTGCGCGTTCGTGTGTGTTGGAGGAGGGGCTCTGTAAGGAAGTCTGAAGGAAGGGGCAGATTTTTTTCGGCTGCGTACTTTCAAATTCTAGCGCACTCAAGCTGGTTTCTCCATTCTTACCTACCCTAACCCTTTAACTGTTCCATCAATAAAAAATCGGATCTAAACATTATGCGTCATTCACCTGTAGCGCTGAGATCCAGAAATATCAGAATTCACTTTGAATGCAAGAGAAGGATATGGGACCATATTTAATTTTCAGCATCCCTTGTTCTGTGTGCACAGGGAAAACCGAAATTCAATCACCGCTGCCGATTTTGCCCTTTTCTATCACATCGCTAATGCAAAGAAATGTTTGCTCTGTGTCAACCTTTGGAACGTTCTTCCCCTTGCTCTACTCTGCTCCACTCTTTCTACTCTTGAGAAATTGGAAAAAAAACGGTACTTTTCATATCCTTTCCCCTTCACTCTCTCAATTTAATCTCACTAGCTGCAATGACCTTTTCAATTACGCTCCGGCTGCAGAGAGATACTTTAAATTCTATCTGCATTGCCAATGCCACTCCAGCTGAAAAACCCACACAAGTTACAATAACATGCACCCTTTCCCCTGAAATTGCCAATATATATTTATATCTTCATATCTATGTACAATACTGCAGGGCAGAAAGTCAGAACACCTCCCACACACAACTGCCCCCATTTGATCTCTGCTACAACCACCTGTATGATGTCGGCCCGCTTAATGAACCGTGACTGCTGTCTATTTTTAACCATTGTCTTTATTAATTTTCTACATTGAGAGACACACAAAAAACATCAACACTTAAATAACAATATAAAACATGGATGACAACAACGCTTAGATAAATAATTAAATTATGAAGACTGACATGACATCATTAAAATACAAGTAAATACAGTCAAGACAAGATCTTGCATAAAAGGCTCTTTAATTCTTCTTTTTTAAACAGTTAATTTAATACATAGAAAGACACAAGAAAACAACAACACACAAATAACAACACCACAATTATTTTAAAATATATAATTAAATGCAGAAGGCAACGTCTGACATTAAATTACTTAAATCAAAGTAAATACATTTAAAAAAAATTATAATAATGAATAAATAATATACAAAATTATAATACAGTCTATACATAAATAACAAAAAAATATATATAATCAATAAATATAAAAAATAAACGTATATATATATTAGTGCTGTCAGTCCCTGTTCTAAATGTACCTTAGAGGAATATTTTTCAAGTTTTTAATACTCTTATCAACATATGAGTGGACAAATATGCTTTATGCAAATGTTTGTTTATTATCATTTGAACAATGACAAATATTCTCCTGAATATTCTCAATACAACAACCTGGAACCTCTCTCTCTCTCTCTTACACTCTCTCCCGACCCTGTGTACGTCTTTGCACTGAGACAGTTGCTCAGACAGACAAGCCTGTTTACAGTTGTCGGCGAAATGCCGCTCCTCTGTCTTCATAACAGTCAAAGCATGAGACTGAAGTTCCCACCGTGGGTCAAAATAATGCGCTGTGATGTGCAGTCGACACGTTGGATGCGATCCGAATTATCTCACGCAGTCCCTTGTCTTCCACAATGTTAATTGTCCTGCAAGCTGTAGCCACCCATTTAGCTATCGCTGTTGAAAGCTTGCTGCTCGTAGACGCCGTGTCCAGGCGTCTCCCCTAAGCCCTGAGCCTGTTTTTCAGGTCTCAGGCTCGAAAATGACATTCCCAGAACAAATGACCATATCTTCCCTTCTAAAAGGGTTAAATTAATAATCTTTTTTCTCAAAGTAATGATAAACCTGTGAGTTGGATGTAGAAAAGTCAGAATCAATATAGATGTTTTTTATTTTAAAGAAAATTCAGATTTTACATAGTAAAAAACTGTAAATTATAGTGTCTGTCCAAAAATTCTTTTTTACTTATAGTGAAAACTACCCTTGAATAATGGGTTAGTAGACTAAAAGCTTTAGGAATCCAAAGTACAACATATAATAAGTACCCTGTATCAAGATTGATGCAAAACAAGTGACATTTTACCTTTTTAGAGAGATTTAGCAAAAAGAAACCACTTCTGGGGTGATTTGGGTGGATTTTCCATATCTCTGTCTTCCCTTGCTCGATTTTGATGGTTGACACCTCTTTCTGACCGTTAGAGCCAATAGAATCGAAGGTGGGGTCCCCCACACACACACGTTGTGAAGAGAAATGGTGGGGGCTTCGCGCATGTAATTTTTCATCAGAGTGAACCTATCTCTAGCTTTGACATCTGGAAACGGAAAAGCAGTTTTAATGCTTATGGATTATCAGAAATCATTTCAAAGGGACACAGACACATTAGATGAACCTATGGATTAACTTCAGCAGCGTTTTTATCATTTTAATGCCATTGAAGACCACTTTGGAGAGACTACAGAGCCAAGGTAAAAATGTTAGCATTTTTAGCTACCTAGCGTCACCTGTTTTGATGTCCGTTTATGCTTATAACGTCGCCATTTCGTATAATTCAGTGATAATGTGGGTGTCCATCGATTCTGTGTCACCTCACGATGTGAAATGATCTCATGGATGTAGAGAAGAGATAAATAATAAGGTTTTGTGAGTGATTTTCGGTGCAGGAAGGTGTTAGCATTTTTCGCTCGTTGCTAATTCAGAGGCTCAGTGTTAGCATTGTGGGTTTTATTTTGAAAAAAAAAAAAAAATGATCAGTTAGATGAGTTTCTTCCCGTTACATGGATATAAAACATTCATAGTTTATTAAATGAACATGCCCTCAGACACTGTTTCCTGCAAGATGTTGCAGCAGTGCCCCGGTACCGGGGTCTCTCGGGCTTAACAGGTTAAAACACCTTTTTTTGTATCCATATCTCTCACTAGAATCTCCCACCATCCAACTAACAACAACAACAACAACAACGTCAAGCCTTTGGGCTCTGAAACTACGGGGCGGGCCGAGTGCAAATACACATGCGCTAATCGCACGTTAAAATAATTCGTGGCGTTAAGAGAAATTTGCGTTAACGCGTTAATAACGTGCCCTAATATATATATATATAAATATAAAAGATCATTAAATATTTAATAAAAATGAAAACAAAAAATAAAGGTTACCTTTTCTCTGTTTAATGCTTCAGAAATGTCCTAATTTTCCATAAAATGCATAAAAGGCTCATTACCGCGACTCCACTCTGTTTAGTAGGCACCCTTAATTAACTTCAAAAGTGTGTTTAAGTGTGTTCGTGCCTGAATGCCTGTTTTTAGAGTTTGAATTTGAGCAAAATAAGCAGCATAGTTTTCTTTGACTATGCTACCTGTGTACACCTTCATGTATTTTCATGAGCTCAACCAGCTTCCCTGAGCTGCTGCCAGAGGTAGCGGAGAGTTGTGTCGATGCTGATGCAAGATGTGGGCTGCCACTATTGACTGTGTGTGTGTGTCTGCGGCCTGTCACTCAACACGTCTCTGTGGTGCTGTTTGGACTAATGACAACAGCGCGGCAACGACAACACGAAGCCCAGAGCACCCAAACACCTCCTCTCTCCCTCTGACTCGCTGTCTGTATATCTAACGGATTAACCCCTCTGTTTTTCTCACCCTTTCACTTTCCTCAGCCTGAATCTCGTATTCTCTCTCTTCCCCTCCTCCCTCACTCCCTTAGGTCCTAACTGAGATTGGATACAGACAAATTGAGTGAGCAGGGAAGGAAGATGAAGCATTAATGGGATAAGGAAAGAGGAAGGCAGACAGATAACAAGGAAGATAAGGGAGGGAATAGCACACGCTTCAGTGTTTCTGACAGGTTAAGTCATTAGGGACATAATATCTCTGATAACAGTACACACTAATGCATCATTTTGGCAGATCAGACTGCACTTCTAGCTCTATTACTGTGCCGGCATCTGAAAGAGGGAAAGGCATGAATACCAAAATGATTTGGGCAGGAGGGGGATTTATAGGGCTGGGTGCAAAACAACAGTGAAATACTGTAGATCCCACTGAGTGATGGAAGAAGTACTCAGATCTATAAGTAAAAGTAGCAATACTAAATTGTTAAAGATTCTTTGTCCTGCATCCAAAATCTCACAAAAGTTTCCCCTTCATTGTAGTGTGTTATATTGGTCTTAGTGCATGTAAACAATCTGCAAAGGCTAAAATACCTGTGTTTCTATGCTACACACTCCGCCCCCCCCCCTGCCTGAAACACCTCCATTGGATTCCTTTGTTTACGTCCGTAACATTGTGACATTTTCATGTTACACTCGCGCTTCTGCATCTGATAGGCTAATTAACCTTATTATTTGTATATGTGTCTTCGTGTCTGTATATCATAAAATATGTTAAAAAAACAACTCTTGCCTTTTACCACCCTTGCTGTAAATTGGGCTCTTTCCTTTACAACCTCTGCTTGTGGAGGTCTTATCTCCCTCCTCCTTCTCCCCCTCCGCTCTCCCTCCACTCTTCATGCCTGGCTCTCATCTCGGCCGCCTCGTATATTTTGGTTTAATCAAACATGTCTGGGAGCTTCTCCTGTCTCACGTGGGTTTTGATCTGCTTCACAGAGCGGCTGGGCTCCAGCTTCTATTTTCTTTCATACTCCACCTCCAGCGCTGCCCTGTACTTAAAACATTGTTTATTTTGGTTCTCAAAGACACTCTCTTAATCTTTTTTCCTCTCTAGCCACTTCTGTCTCTGTCTCTCTGTGCCTGACCTTCCATCTGTTTGTTTTTTTCCTAGCATGTGCACCCAAATAAATCAAGTATTTATTATTGCTGTCATTTAAAGGCTCAAGGTTATCTTTGCATTAAAAGATCTGGGTTATTGTTCCCCCACTTTGCCAGCATATTTGTCCTTGTATACAATGCAGTGTTACGCTGTAGGCATACACCTTGACTTTAGCTACTATTTGTAAATCTTTTTGACTTGATCTCTTGGTTGTTGATGTGGTCATGGAACATTTTTACTTTCTTCTACTGAGCTATTTAAGATGAACGGTGTCCCTGCTGTTTTTTTTTTATTATTATTTTGTTCTTTCTATTTTCATTAATCAATTTTAGGCAGTGCCGGCTCCAGAGTATTTGTGTTGGGTAATTTATGGTAGGGCTAACCCATACAGTGGTGGGGCTCAAGTCAGTATTTGCAATATAATTACATACACGCTATATCGCCCCCCCTTGACAGTGAAACGCCACGCGTGAGGTTTAGATTATTTCCTTGTCTCAATCCAAATTGAACTGTATGAAATAAAAAGGCACATTTGTCTTGTAGTAAATAAAAAGTGCGACCTGGAGACAATCCTGGAATTTCCCCACAGGTGAAAAAGTTGACGTGCTGAAAACCCAACCCCTGCAGGGGGGTCTGAGAGGATTGTCCCCCAGGAGATTTTTTGAAATACTAACATAAAATACACATTCTGGTACTCTTGAGAAGAAAAAAAATACATCTATCACGACATATTTAAAAAAATGAAAGCCTTTTTTGTTACTTTGTTCTGAAAGCTGAACCTGCTGCTCCTCACAGAGAGAAGAGGGAAGAGGCTGTGTGAATTACTTTACATTGTGGATAAGGGTGGATAGCCCACATTGTTCTGTGTGTCAAAATGAAAGACAGCCCACACACCTATCAATCATCAAACCGTGGGGTCTTATTTCATTACGTGTTGATTTCTATCAACACGTAATGTTGTATCCATGGATATATAAAGAGTAGTTCTACCGCAAAAGTATTCTCCGTCGGGACTTCCTGCAACAACACCACGCCGTTATCGTGATTCTGATTGGCCAGAAGACATTAGCAAAGATGTTTTATTGAGAAGACGATCACTACGTGACGAAAGTTTTCAAAACCGTTTCTAGTGTTCGGTATTTCCAGACAAGTGGCTACTGAAATCAATCTTACTAACTGCTGTCTGCAATTTACTCGGCGCGAGTTGGAGGACTTGTTTTTGCTTACTTTAACATGATTTTTCATGGTGGGGCTAAGGCGGGGCTACACAATCTCTTGGTATGGCTGTAGCCTACCCCAGCCATACCCTGGATACACTGATTTTAGGATGCACACTTAGTTTTATATATTGTTGACTTTATTGCAGTTCTTTTTAATGTATTAATTTAATCATTTATTTATATGAATGCATACAAATAATGAAAAATATATAAAAGGCAAGGCAAGGCAAGATTATTTATATAGCACCTTTCAACACAAGGCAATTCAAAGTGCTTTACAAAAATGAAAGACATTAAGAAAATGGCATTTAAAATCAGTCATTAAAAAGCAAAGATAATCAAATAAACATTAAAAGAAAAAATACATGGATAAAAGTTACAGTGCAGTTTAAGATGTGAATAGTTCAATTAAAAGCAGCGACAAAAAGAAAAGTCTTCAGCCTGGATTTAAAAGTAGTAAGAGTTGCAGCGGATCTGCAGGTTTCTGGGAGTTTGTTCCAGATATTTGGAGCATAATAACTGAACGCTGCTTTACCATGTTTAGTTCTGACTCTGGGGACAGAAAGCTGACCAGTCCCTGAAGACCTGAGAGATCTGGATGGTTCATAATTTAGCAGTAGGTCAGACATGTATTTTGGGCCTAAACCATTCAATGCTTTATAAACCAGCAACAATATTTTGAAATCAATTCTTTGACACACAGGAAGCCAGTGTAAAGACTTCAGAACAGGAGTGATGTGATCCACTTTCTTAGTGTTAGTGTAATAAAAGTACTATATAATTAGTTTTGCCAGTAGTAGTATTTCAGATGGTCTTTTCCAATAAATGGGCTGTCTATCAAGTAGAAAGGTGCTAATATTTTTGAAATTGGTGCTAAATGACTAGAGAAGAATTGCTTTTTACAGCAACCAGAATGCAATAGGCTTTTCACACTTTATATTATTCAAAAAATATGTTATACCTTGACCACTCTATTGCTCTCTGTCCATGTATTACTTTATCTTTCTCTTGTTTCCCTTCTTTTTTGTGACTCTTTAGTCAGGGTGTCCGCGGGGTCTTAAAAAGTATTAAAAGTTGATAAATCAATTTAGTGAAAATTAAGGCTATTAAAAAATATTAAACTGCATTTCCCAAGGTATTACATGTTGTAGCTTGTTTTCAATAAGTATATAAATTGTCCAAAGAGGTTGTATTCTACAGTTTGCCTGAATGTAATCATTGCGTAGGTGTGTAGTGTGATTCTGTGTAGTTTATTTATGGCATCCCGTTGGATTTGACGTCATCTGAACAGGACATCGCACGCTCACTGCTTGATAGCACGCGGAGGTCCGTTTACGCCGGTTGTTAAACAACATCGTTATGGGGAAATGCAAGTCTGCGTCCAAATGGTTGGAAGATAAGGAGGAAGGACAATCAATACTGTATATAGTAAATGTGAGGTAAAGTGTGTCGCCAAGGTAACCGGTTAGAACTCCAAAGTGGCGATGAGGTCTTAAAATGTATGGAAAGGGTCTTAAAAAAGGTATTAAATTTCACTTCAGGATTCCTGCATATACCCTGTAAGTGAATGTCTCTCCCTCCCCACATCTGTCTAATACTCTCACCCACTAGCTTTGTCTTTCCCCTTTCTTGCCACTCTGAATCTCACTCTGTCAGAGAGCCAGCCCATGAGTTTCTGGCTCCTGTCTGCTGTGCTCAATGTAGAGACTCCTACCCTACCCCTAAGAATTGTGTCAATCTGCTTTTCTCGCTCTCTCTGCCGAGCATTTTACTGTGTATTTCTTTCAATAGCCCATTTTCAATCCTCTCCTCCACATGGCAACTTCCCTTCCAATGCGGACTCATTGGAAGGGATGTTGCAATGATATGTAAGATATGTTTTCGGTATGGGTTGCATCGACCCAATTTCCCCTCATGATTACGTTTTATCCTCTTCCTTTAGATTCAAGATTTCAAGATTCAAAGGTTTTATTGTCATATGCACAAAGCTACAGTGTAGAAATGGCAATGCAATTATTCTGACCTGAGCTCCTCCAACAATGCAACATATATAATAAAATACAAAATAAAAAGTAGTGCAAAAAGTCTATATACATGTCAATAGAATATGATATATACAAGAACAGAATATGAAATGAAATAATGTAAATTAAGACTAAATTAAATATGGTTTATTGCGGTGATAACTATTTATATAAATAATTAGATTGCAAGATGACAACAGGAATGTTTATTGGGGCACTTAGCAGAGCTCAGGTGTTTAGCAGTCTTATGGCCTGTGGGATAAAACTGTCCCTGAGTCTGGTGGTTTTTATTCTGCTTCTGTTTGTTTGCTGATCTGTCTCCTATCTCCCTCCCTCAGTTCCCCTTCTGGAGCAGCTCTGCTCAGCCTTGCTTTACCCTGATGAAGCGCTGAAGGCTTCGGTCCTGCATGTGTGGCTCAAACTGTTTGGGACAGCGGGGGGGTCGGCAGCCCAATCCCTGCCCCCCGCCATCAGGGACAGAGTGTGTGTCCTGTTGCTGCAGACACTGGCCAACGCCGGATCCAACCGACTCATCAACAACTGTGTTGGTGAGAAAAAAAACACGTCACTTTTTTTGCTATCCTGAGCAAAGTCAGGGTTAATTCTTTATGAATATATTCTTCTTGAACTCCCTTCATGACTACAAGTGTTTGAAGAGCGAGCTTTGTGACTTTTTTCCCCCCTTGTTTTGGTGTAAAAGTATACTTGAGAGCATCATTAGTGGCCTGGATGAAACACGCCTGGCCTCATTTAGATTTATAAAGCACTAGAAAGACTAAGTGAAATTGAAATGCTCTCTTCTCAAGGTTTGAAGTTGGTAAGATCACTACAGCATGCATGGCTTAAAAAATACAATTATCGAGCCAAGGTAAGGGGACGATGTTATTAAAACTGGAAGAAAATGTGAGCTAAGCACAACAGCAACTAGTTTAGTGACAACGTAAGGAACTGGCTTCTATTGAGTTTGTTGTCACAGTGTTTCCCACAGATCTGAAATATACCTGTGGTGGTTGCCGATCTACTGCTTAGAGATGTCTCACCCCTGAGCCAATCATGGACAATGTGTTGGAGCGCTAGCCAATAGGAGTGCGAGTGTTAGATAGTGATATGTTATGGAAGTTTTTAGAAAAATATCACTCGTCACCGGCTTGAGCTTCAATATCAGGATCCATGTATTTATTATCTTCTCAAGAATGGAAGTAGTCAAAACAAAAAAAGAGAATTTGTTGGAATTTTTCTACAAATCTCAAAATTCTGACTTTTTCACAAAATGATGACCTTTTCTCAAAAATCTAAAAAATCTGACTTTTTCTCAAAAATCTGACTTTCTCTCAAAAATCTATTTTTTTTGACTTTTTCTCAAAAATCGAAATCTTCTCAAATTTCAATAATTTTCTCAAAAATCTCAAAATTCGGACTTTTTCTCAATACTTAAAAATGTTAATAATCCCTCGTCACCAGCTTGAGCTTCAATCTCAGGATCCATGTATTTGTGATCCTCTCCAGAATGGAAGTAGTCATCACATACAGAGCATCAACTAGTTCCTGAACAGTGTCCTTCACATGCTGATATCCAAGAGAGGGAGTTACACAGTCACAAGATGGAGGAATAGAAAGCAGTATTCAATGTTTACTTCAGATTAGCTCCACGTCAGAAATGATCATGCTTGTCATATGTCTATCTCCATAGAGGCTGAATCATCATGTTAATCACATAGCTATCATATGCCTAAAACAGTCCTGATGCTCTTCTAGGTAATCATACATCCTGTCATGTACACAGCTACAGTTGGGATACCTTTGTTAGCATGTGGACTCTGATATTGGAAGAGTACATTCAGGATTTTCCCAACAGAAGTAAACAAAGGAGTCCAATGGAGGCGTTCCAGGCAGGGGGGAGTGTGTGGGAGAGTGGAGAGAGTGGGAGTGTTGCTGTCTTATAGGAATTCTGAGTTATAATGATAATAACCTCGCCAGCGTTAGAGGCCGATGAAAACTAGGGGTGCAACAACTAATCGATTCAGTCGTCGATTCGTTGGTGACGTCACGTGTGTTTTACGTGCCGTTAAGCTCCGAACATTATCGGTCTTTTTATCGGTACTGGAGACATTTAAAACATATATGTCATATGTTATTGCTACATAAACATTATATCGCAGTCTTAGTGTCACCAACTCGTTTCTAATATGCAAAAAGACTAAAAAAATTAGTCTATGATGTATTTTCGATCTGTCCAATCCAGACGAGAGATCTCTCTCCCCCGTCTGTGTGCGAGGGGGCGGGGCCGTTTACACACACGCGGCTGCTACATGCATGCAACACACACACACACACACACACACACACACACACACACACACACGCACACACACACACACACACACACACACACACACACACGGCTGCTACATGCATGCAACACACGGCGGGGATGGTGAGGAGAACTAAGCGCTCCAAGGTGTGGTTAAATGTCTCGATGTGGACAATGCTCGTTGCCAATAGTGCAATAAGAGTTTAGCATGTAAGGGCGGTAACACGAGCAATTTGTCTAAACATTTAGCAAAAGTGCACCACATTCAGACGGAGAAATGCACCGGGTTCGACTGTGTTTTCTAATAGCTCTGTAGCCCCATCCACGAGTAACTTGTCCACGTCAGCAACACACGGAGTTAACTCAATTATACAAACACGGGTTAATGATTAGAGGTAACAGAGTTATTTAGTTTGTTAAAGTTTCAGCTATTCTGTTTACAGTTCTGTCATCACATTATTTAATACGATTTGTTTCTTTTGATGTGAAATATTATTTATTTAATTTAAATAAAAAGCAATGTTAATTTTGTTCGCAATTTGTTTAGTTAATTTAATAATATATGTATTTTTGAATCAAGTATTCATCTTTATTGTCTTCATTGTTAGTTTCCACATGCCTAAAACAACCTCAAGCTAAATCTAAAAGTTGATGGCTAAATAAGAGCGTTTGAGAAATTGTGCAAGGCATAATAGTCGATTAATCGTTTCATTAATCGATAGATGAATCGATTATCAAATTAGTCGTTTGTTGCAGCCCTAATGAAAACCAAAATGAAGTTATTAAAAAGCAAATGGAGTCATTATCCTCTAGAAGTGTGAAGTTTTGTTATCACTGTATTAACTTGGGAAAGAGTCGGAGTGCTTTTAAATCGAGTTCAAGGTTGGTTAACTCGGGCTTTTAGAAGAGCTGCCTTTGAGCTTTTGCTGTTGTTGTTGTTTGGGTAATTTTGAAATGATTTAATCTTATTAAGCTTAACCTCACCATCCCCGGTGAGTACAGCAACATGAAGGAATTCAAAAAGGATTATTATACTTTTTCTTCAGAACTGTTTTATAAACAGGGACTTTAAGACGTTTCCATGAAATGAAAAGGTGCTTTTTATAATGTTGCTTGAACTTTTAGGTTATTTTTTATGTTTTGTAGGCGCTTGGTGTTTTGCTATCTTGCTTACGGATGTCCTGAAAGGAAAAATCCACACTGCTTGGCCACATTTATTTGCTAATATACAATTATTGCATTGTTTGTTTTAATCATGACTTGTTCGCATGTCTATTGTTTGATCGCCTCATTTAATGACATGATTTATGTCGTAGAACAAAACCTGAAAACCTCTTCATATTGTTTTAAACACAGAACTTATCTCTGGAATTTAACCAAAATAACTATTCATGAAACCGTTGACTTTGAGACAAGCAAACTGGAAAATGCTTAAAATACTAATTCACTTCCAGGTTTTAAGACAAATTCCTGCACCAGTTTATTATAGCTCTGGATATTGAGCTCCGTCTGTTTTCACATCTTGTCTTTGGTCCGTTAGACCTGCTGTGGCTGCTGGTGCAGATCCGAGAGGCGGTGTCAGTTCTGATGAGCAGCCCTGGTGATCTGATCCCGTGCCATGAGAACCAGAACCTCCGTACCAACAACGAGCAGAACCTGAGCCAAAACCAAGAGCAACAGTCCCCGGACCAATGCCCTCTGCCTCTCATTCTGAAAAAGGTCTCTGTCCAAACATCCTGCCCCCGTCCCCAAGACCCACATTCTGACACTGACCATAATCATAACAAGCAGTTCTAATCCTGGATTTATGGGCCTTTGAATAGGGATCCAGGGAGGGTTTACGCTGGACAAATATTTGTGCTTCAGTCTGGGAAATCAATGTGCAGATTACATCTAGATAGAATTTCTCAGTTATGACTCACAATACAGCACAGCTCATGACGTGAGTGCTTTATGTGAGGATTACCATCATCACCCAGATGTGTTTTCTGCCAAAAACGTTATTATTTTAATGTTTTCTAACGTATATTCTACCAAATGAATGTCCGGTTCAATTATAAGCAATTCTAGGGAAACTTCAGGAAACTTGGAAGGCAAGAGGAATTTGAATTAAATGTTGTTGCAGATGCTACGACCAACAACAACGCAGTAAAACACGCAAACTACAGCAAACGACTCTCTAGCGAATATGATAATTCCCTTTTCTGAGAATAATTAACTTTTCTGGATGGATTGTGTTGTTGTTGGCACAAAACGATGCCATAAACAGCACACTGAGTTTTTCTCAGGTTTTATGGAAAGTGTCTATAAATAACTAATGCATCCACATTCAGGGACTTTTTCTTCACTCGTCCCTAGTTAGTTCTAATGTATAGATCAAATAAGCCTCACTCATACAGAAATGTAATTTAATATAATGACTTTTAATGGACACTAATTAGATGCTTTGTTTTAAAAATTAAACGGCTTTATTGTCAACAACTGCAGCGTAATGAAACATTTTTAAATCCCGGGCTCCAACAATGCAACATACAGAATAATTAAGACATACAAATAAATTAAACCAGAATCAGAAATCCTCTATTCATCCCACAGCGAGGCATTCACACTGTTACAGCACAGCGCAGATAAAAGGCAAATACAATGAGTATTTAAACATATTAAATAAAGAAGCACACGTTCATAGAATACAAATCTAATAGAGTTTCAGTCAGACAACTCACGTGTTTCTTTAACATGTTTAATATTAGAAGCAGCATATAGTTGAGTTTGGCGTCTAGGCTCGGGCCTCATCACTCCACAGATATACATAGCACGATGAGTGATGATTAAATAACTAACGGGGGGTTAGTACAGGCCTACAGGTGGAAGCTGGGGTGGTGGTGGGGCAGGCGAGCAGCAGCAACGTGGAAGTAGCTGCAGCAATAGCAGCAGCAATGCAATGAGGTACAAACCCTGTGTACCGGCCATCATAATGGGGAACGTGAGGTCTTTGGGGAATAAGATGGACGAGCTCCGCGTGCTGACGAAGACGCAGTGGGAATACCGTGAGTGTAGCATCATGTGTTTTACCGAGACTTGGTTGCACTCGCTCATCCCGGATAATAACACGGCTCTCCCCGGCTTCACGAGTGTTCGGGCGGACAGGGACGTTATTCTGAGCGGTAAAAAGAAAGGAGGAGGGATTGCACTGTATGTGAACGAACGATGGTGTAATCCTGGACATGTTACTGTGAAGGAGCGTTTCTGTAGCCCGGACATTGAACTGCTAGCTGTGGGATTACGTCCATTTTATCTACCTAGAGAACTTTATTCTGTCATCGTAGTTGCTGTCTATATTCCACCGAACGCGGACGCGGAGGTGGCTGGTGACGTCATTCACTCTTCTGTGGCCAAACTCCAAACTCTTCACCCAAATGCATTCATAACAATAACTGGGGATTTTAACCGTGCAAAACTGGACAAATCTCTGCCTACATTCACTCAGTATGTGAAATGCCCCACCAGGGGAAATAATACTCTGGATCTTCTATATGCTAATACCAAGAATGCATATTGTGCCACTGCCCTCCCCCCCCTGGGCAGATCTGACCACAACCTCGTCTTTTTGGCTCCTAAATATGTCCCACTGGTGCAGAGGCAGCCTGTATCCACCAGGACTGTGAGGAAATGGACTCCAGGGGCTAATGAGGCTCTACAGGACTGCTTCGAGACCACTGACTGGGACGTGCTTTGTGTGCCACATGGAGAGGACATCAATAATATGACTGACTGCATCACAGAATACATCAACTTCTGTGAACAAACAATATTACCGGCTAAAACTGTCAACTGTTTCCCCAATAATAAACCCTGGATTACTAGTGACCTGAAAACTCTTTTAAATAAGAAAAAGGAAGCTTATAAGTCTGGGGACAAATCAATGCTGAAGAGTGTCCAGCATCAACTGAGAGACAATTTGAGGAGGGGCAGAGATTCGTACAGGAAGAAGCTGGAGACTAAGCTCCAGCTGAACAATAGCAGGGATGTCTGGGCTGGGATGAAGGCTATCACTGGCTTCAAAGGGAGAGACAGACTGACTGTGGGCACCCTGGAGAGGGCCAACGAGCTGAACACCTTCTTCAATAGGTTTAGCTCTCCGCCCGCTGCTGTCTCCTCCACTTCCTCTTCTCACCTCACCTCCTCCTCTCAGCCTGGCGTCAACATCCCCCCTCTGCTCACCACCTACACTTCACACCTCTCCTCCACCACCCAGCCTGGCTTCTGCACCCCCCCTCTGCTCACATTGCCGCTGACCCCCCCCCCCCCCTCTGCTCATCTTGCCTCAGACCCCCCCCCCCTCTATCCCCCCTGCCATCAAGCCCCCCCCCCCCGCTTCACTGTGAGCACAGGACAGGTCCAGAGTCAGATGGAAAAACTCCACCAAGGCAAGGCTGCTGGCCCTGATGGTATCAGCCCCAGGGTCCTGAGGACCTGTGCACGCCAGCTGGCTCCTGTTCTCCAGTATATATTCAACCTGAGCCTGCACTTGGAGACCATCCCGGTGCTGTGGAAGACATCATGCGTTGTTCCGGTCCCTAAAAAGACAACTCCTTCTGGGCTCAATGACTATCGCCCTGTAGCACTCACATCTCATGTGATGAAGGTGCTTGAGAGACTGGTCTTGGCCCATCTCAGACCGCAGGTGAGATCATTCCTTGACCCTCTGCAATTTGCCTACCAGCCTCACCTGGGGGTGGACGATGCCATTATTTACCTGCTGCAGCGTGCTCACTCATACCTGAATGGATCGGGTTGCACTGTGAGAATCACCTTTTTTGATTTCTCCAGTGCATTCAACACGATCCAGCCTCGGCTACTGAGTGACAAGCTGCAGGCTATGAGGGTAAACTCGTCCACCATCTCCTGGATTACCAACTACCTCACGGACAGACCACAGTACGTCCGGCTGGGCAGTGTGCTGTCTGATGTGGTGGTTGGTAGTATTGGAGCCCCACAGGGGACTGTGCTGTCTCCTTTCCTGTTCACCTTATACACCTCTGACTTTCTATACAACTCAGAGTCATGCCACCTGCAGAAGTTTTCGGATGACTCTGCAGTGGTAGGGTGTATAAGGGATGGACGGGAGGAGGAGTACAGAGCGCTGGTGGGTGATTTTGTTGAGTGGACTGGAAGAAATCATCTGCTTTTGAATGTGGCCAAGACCAGAGAGATGGTCATTGATTTCAGGAGGAAGAGGACATCTCCTCCTCTGCCCCTGTGCATTCTGGGAGAGGATGTGGCAGTTGTGGAGGTCTACAAGTACCTGGGAGTGCACTTAGACAATGGGCTGAACTGGAGGATCAACACTGACGCTGTGTACAAGAAGGGGATGAGCAGACTCTATTTTCTGAGGAAGCTGAGATCCTTCAACGTATGCAGTAAGATGCTGGAGATCTTCTATCAGTCTGTTGTGGCTAGTGCACTCTTCTTTGCTGCGGTCTGCTGGGGGGGCAGCATCAGAGCCGGTGACACCTGCAGGATCAATAAACTGATCAGGAAAGCTGGGTCAGTCATCGGCATCAAGCTGGAACCCTTTGAAGCTGTGGTGGAGAGGAGGACACTGAACAGGCTGTTGTCCATCATGGATAACCCCACCCATCCTCTCCACCTGCAGCTGGACAGTCAACGGAGCTCCTTCTCCAACAGACTGCTGCAGCTCCCCTGCCACAAGGACAGATACTGGAAAACATTCCTGCCCACTGCAATAACACTGTACAACAAATCACCTCTGGCTGGAAGAGAACTCTCTGCTCCATAGTTTCTCTAGAAATAAAACCACCTTGTACATTTTACTCACACATAATCTGTTTCATATTTAATACTCCATAATTCCATATATTTTGAATATATATATATTTGTATGTTTGTATATATATATATATATATATATAATATCTGTATGTATATTTTCTATTTTGTATTTTGACATGTATATTTTATATTTTATTTTATATTTTATTTTATTTTATTTCTATTCTTGTATATTTTGTTTTATTGTAAAATGCCTTTTATGCTGCTGTAACAAAAACAATTTCCCAATTTGGGATCAATAAAGTACGATCTATCTATCTATCTATAGAGATATCTGGCAGGTTAAATAGAGCGGCATATTAAGGAGACTCTGTTTGGTTGGTTGTAGAGTGGCAAGGGGCGTTATGTATGAATGTAGCATAAGTGCTCGAGTTGACTGCCCGAACTAGCTCGCAGGCTTCGCCCCATAAACGGAAGAGCGTCTGAGAGGCGTTTTTGCTTTTTACCTTACTAAATGGTAAAATGGTCCATGGAGCGAAGGGCGGGGCGAAACTCACGGAAGTAATTTCAAAACAAAAGCACTCGTTTGCTAAAATCACACTTTGAATCACTACAGTATCCTGTTGAAGGAACAGTGATAATATTATAAACAAGGGGAATTTAGCGATCACAACGAAAACAGCCAAGACACATATTGAGCCCAGAAAACGGATTTTATTAACCTGTTAAGCCCTGAGCCTGTTTTTCAGGTCTCAGGCTCGAAAATGACATTCCCAGAACAAATGACCATATCTTCCCTTCTAAAAGGGTTAAATTAATAATCTTTTTTAAAATTCAGATTGAACATAGTAAAAAACTGTAAATTATAGTGTCCGTCCAAAAATTCTTTTTTACTTATAGTGAAAACCACCCTTGGATGATGGGTTAGTAGCACAAGTGCTCGAGTTGACTGCCCGAACTAGCTCGCAGGCTTCGCCCCATATATGGTACGGTGCAATAATAAAATGCAGGAATAAGTAAATACTGTTAAATGGGGAAGTATGAATGATGATGTTGTATATTTGATGACTGGGGGAATCTAATAATAATGTGTTTTCTAGTTGCTGATGAGTGGTGATGAGACGTTGCAGGCGACCAGTGCGAAGTGTATTGCAGCCGTCCTGGTTCATTCACCCAGTCAGTGCAGCACTCCCTTCATCAAGGCTGATGTACCTGGTGATAAGCACACACACACACACACACACACACACACACACACACACACACACACACACACACACACACACACACACACACACACACACACACACACACACACACACACACACACACACACACACACACACACACACACACACACACACACACACACACACACACACACACACACACACACACACACACACACACACACACACACACACACACACACACACACTATAGAGTGAGGGTGCAGTTATGTCTATTTTTGTAGGCCGACCTGCAAGTTAGCATCAACAAAAAGCGAATGTATTATTATTATTACACGCATATATATTAATCTAACAATAATCGTGTGTATGGGGCTCACTGGCAGTGAATGTAGGGGGTTATTTTAGTCGTTGTTATTGTTTGTTTGTGTTCTTTGTCATTCTTTTTTCTCTTTGTACATTCAATCAGTACAGACTGACTCTGTCTCATTTGTATGCATATATTTTGCTTTCCATCTCTAAATGACAAACACTGTTTATGCATTGTCGAAACGCAATAAAATGACTTTTGATCAGAACAAAAAGCTAATGGGATTTTTCAATAGATTTTGGATTATACTGTAGCAACAAATCTGGAAGTGCTAAAAGGCCATGGATGTATAATAAGAACTGGATACAGCGTGGGAGGCGGGGTCTCGTTCTTTCCTATGAGAGCTGCTCATTGGCGCATGAGGACAAAATGGCCCAACTTTTGAGAGAGTGAAACGTCACAGATTACCCATCATGCCTAGCTGTCAGAGCAGAAGAACCCGTATGTGCGCTCATAGAGCATGCGCAGTTGAGTTGCCCCTTAAGCCCCGCCCCCCCGAGCTCCCACTCAGATGCACGTTCATAATGCAGAGGAAAATAACTCTCAGAATAACGTAGGGGTGCTCAATTAATCGTATTTTAATCGCAATTACGATTTTGGCTTGCAACGATTATGAAAATCGAAATAAAACGATTATTTATTTATTTTTTATTTTTAAATTTTATTGGTTTTTCAGTTGAATTATACTTAAAGTTCAGGGTAATCAACTGTTAAAAACATACTGTTCACATTTTTCTTTACAATAAATTGATGTTTTCTAAGTAAATCGTTTTTAATAATCGTGATATCAATTGACCCAAATAATCGAGATTATGATTTTTGCCATAATCGAGCAGCCCTAGAATAACGTTATTAGCACATTTTACAACTTGAGGACCTACTGTTTTTAATAAGGGCTATACAAATGTTCATACTGGGTAGTTTATTTGGTTAAAAAAAAATTATCCAACGATTTCCAGACGTCTCTTTCCCAATGTAAGTCAATGGGAAAAAGTCTTTCTGGGCCCAGCGACTGATACGGAAGTGTAGTACCGCCGTTTGGCCACAACGAATATTTTCCTCAGACTCCGGCGCACTTCCTGGGGTCTTGTAAAAGGCTAACTAATTTCCGGGTTTCAGGACTCATCCCTAAACCACTCTATAGCTGGGATATACGAGCTGTACAAGCTGTTCCCTTCTCTGATTTGTCTTCTGGAAATGATTTCCTCTGCCTTCCTTTACAGTACGTTCCCTTTTGTCTTGTTAACTATGTTTTTGTTATTTACCCGCTCTCTCTCTGTGTGTATTTTGCCTTCTGCTTGTTTGTCTCCTCTGCTCATAAAGCCATCTCCTCAGCACTGTAGGGACTCTGTTGGTGTGTCTCTCGTGCCCCAAAGTTTCATAAAATGATGTTGCTCACAAAAAGGAAATTACCATCCTTTTTTGTTTATCATAGGCTGAAATTGCAGGAAAACATACTTTTTGTCCACAGTTTGTTTCCTGTTCTCTCTTAACTTCATTTCTATAACCTCCCACACAATCTCTCTTCCCTTGTAGAGTTTCTGTTCGACCGTCTGGCCGGTAGCAGCAGTGGTGAGCTGCTGTGGTCGGCCTACAGCTGTCTGGTGTTACTGACAGACGACCCACTCTTCTTCTCCCAGTGTCACTCTGTCTACGGTGAGGCAGCTTAACACATCAGCTCCTGTTCTTTATGTGTGTGTGTGTTAATTATGAATGCGATACTCACTGTAAAACTTTAATTTTGGGATTCATGGCACATCAGTTAACATCTAAAAAGAATTGCAATTGGATGATTAATGGAAAGACTGGTCATGTGACAGCATATACACAAAACTCTGCTCTAATTTTTCAAACACTGACAGCCCAAGCCGCCAGGAAGTGCGCCGGACTCTTGAGGAAAATATTCGTTGTGGCCAAACGGCGGTACTACACTTCCGTATCAGTCGCTGGGCCCGGAAAGACTTTTTCCCATTGACTAACATTGGGAAAGAGACGTCTGTAAATCATTGTATAATTTTTTTCAAACTAAATAAACTACCCAGTATGAACATTTGTATAGCCCTTATTAAAAACATTCGGTCCTCAAGTTGTAAAATGTGCTAATAACGTTATTTTCCTCGGCTTTATGAACGCGCATCTGAGAGTGGGAGCTCGGGGGCGGGGCTTAACCTGTTAAGCCCGAGAGACCCCGGTACCAACATCTTGCAGGAAACAGTGTCTGAGGGCATGTTCATTTAATAAACTATGAATGTTTTATATCCATGTAACGGGAAGAAACTCATCTAACTGATCATTTTTATTTTTTTTCTCAAAATAAAACCCACAATGCTAACGCTGAGCCTCTGAATTAGCAACGAGCGAAAAATGCTAACACCTTACTGCACCGAAAATCACTCACAAAACCTTATTATTTATCTCTTCTCTACATCCATGACATCGTTTCACATCGTGAGGTGACACAGAATCGTTGGACACCCACATTATCACTGAATTATACGAAATGGGATCAAAACAAGTGACGCTAGGTAGCTAAAAATGCTAACATTTTTACCTTGGCTCTGTAGTCTCTCCAAAGTGGTCTTCAATGGCATTAAAACGATAAAAACGCTGCTGAAGTTAATCCATAGGTTAATCTAATGTGTCTGTGTCCCTTTGAAATGATTTCTGATAATCCATAAGCATTAAAACTGCTTTTCCGTTTCCAGATGTCAAAGTTAAAGATAGGTTCGCTCTGATGCAAAACTGCATGCGCGAAGCCCACACCTTTTCTCTTCACAATGAGTGTGTGTAGGGGACTCCCCCTTCGATTATATTGGCTCTAACGGTCAGAAAGAGGTGTCAACCATCAAAATTGAGCAAGGGGGGACAGAGATATGGAAAATCCACCCAAATCACCCCAGAAGTGGTTTCTTTTTGCTAAATCTCTCTAAAAAGGTCAAATGTCACTTGTTTTGCATCAATCTTGATACAGGGTACTTATTATATGTTGTACTTTGGATTCCTAAAGCTTTTAGTCTACTAACCCATCATCCAAGGGTAGTTTTCACTATAAGTACAAAATAATTTTTGGACAGACACTATAATTTACAGTTTTTTACTATGTAAAATCTGAATTTTCTTTAAAATAAAAAACATCTATATTGATTCTGACTTTTCTACATCCAACTCACAGGTTTATCATTACTTTGAGAAAAAAGATTATTAATGTAACCCTTTTAGAATGGAAGATATGGTCATTTGTTCTGGGAATGTCATTTTCGAGCCTGAGACCTGAAAAACAGGCTCAGGGCTTAACAGGTTAAGGGGCGCATGCTCTGTGAGCGCACATACGGGTTCTTCTGCTCTGACAGCCAGGCATGATGGGTAATCTGTGACATTTCGCTCTCTCAAAAGTTGGGCCATTTTGTCCTCATGCGCCAATGAGCAGCTCTCATAGGAAAGAACGAGACCCCGCCTCCCACGCTGTATCCAGTTCTTATTATACATCCATGTGACAGCCCCACCCTCAAACTGTAGATTTTTTAGGCATTTGCATCTATTATATTACACTATCTTTTGTTTTGCAGATGCTTTTTAATCCAGAGCGACATACAATTAGTGTGATCAACCTTCAGATGAATTTCAAGGCCAGAGAACCTTTTAGTAATTGCATAATTGCAAAACAAATAGTTTAAATTCCTAATGAATGGCAATAAATGTCAAGTGGTGCAGGGAAAGCTAATGGAAGCTAAAGATTTTTCCATTTGATTATGAAATATCAAAAGTGCTTGAATCCTGCTGCACGTTCTGCAGTATTGTTTTGCATATGCAAGAGACACTTACAGTGTAAACTTAATTTACCAATACAATCTTTGTGCTACCAGCTTCTTGCTTTAGGTCAAAACAAACACGAGATTTTTACAGCATACGCGGTGTAGCAGTAAATTAGAAAAGATGTACCACTGTCACCGTTTGTTTTACATGGATGATTTTGGTGTGTGTGCATGCCTTGTATTACATTTATGGGTGTGTGTTTGTGTGTTAGGCATTGAGTCTCTGGTGCGCAGTCTGAACGAGGCTCTGCAGCTGACCAACCTGGAGGTGCCGAAACAGGGTCTGCTGCTCCTCACTGAGATACTGGAGAGGTGAGACTGCTCTGTGATGATTTGGTTCCCTTGAAAAGCTTGCTGCACTGAGCTTCTTTGCTCACTGACTAAAACTAATTTCACTAAACTTCAGCTTCTCTGCACTTCAGAGTACTTTGATCCACAACAGGGTGTACACAGCTGCAGCAAAAATAAAATAATGATTCCCTTTTTTTAGGCTTCTGGGGTTTTCCATGCTGACATTTAGTTCTAAAGGTTCCTTTTCAATTACTTGCAAATGCTATTTTCTTATGGGTATAGTAAAAGGTCAGTTTAGATGAATCACATAACACAGTTAAGAGTTTATTTATTTATTGAGGTGTTCAGTATATTACGGCCGAGACCTCCTTGCACTGAAAATAAGTGAACATTAACATGGAAGAAAAGTGTTTTTATGCAGTGAGACGTCTTCTATAAAACCATGTCCCGGTTATCTAGAGCAGGGGTTCCCAAAGTGGGGGTCCCCGAGGGGGGGGTCGCGAGGTGATTCAAAAAATAAATAAATAAATAATAATATATTTTTATTATTATCATTATTATCCAGTGTTTCCCACATAATTTGATTATATTTGTAGGGGCACCGCCCCCCCCCCCCCCCCCCCATGCAAATGAGCCATCATCTCATTAAATATGCGCATATTTTAATACTTTCAGGAACACAATTCTGAACATTGGATAAAGTCATGTTTGAAATTCTTGTTTCATTTTGTAGTCATATTAGAATCTAAAGCTTTTACAGAAGGGATTTTGGATATCTCTTTTTATCACTCCATAAATCAGAAAATGCTGTCAACAGCCCTAAAATATCAATATGTTTTTAGGTATAAAATGTTTTATAATTCAGGCTATGAATGATATATGATATATACAAACCCTTCTGTAAAAACCTTCAGAATATTGATAGGAATATAACTGGAAGGTTTGGTGTATGTACGTGCTGCTGAAGTGGAAATTTCTCACTCAGAAGAGGAGAAAAAACTCATTTTGAGAAAACGACCTTTAAAGATTGCTGTGAGTCGCTACCTAAACCCTCCTGTTCTTTGGATGACAGCTTGCGCATCGACGCACTCCGTGAAAGTATTTCGTGTTCGGGATCATTTGTTTTTTGTCTAACATTGCTTCGTGCAAGTGACAATTGTTGTCGTCTTCTCTGTGAACGTTCTTATCGATGTTCTTTTGCCATTTTGAGATTTAAATTTCCAGCGAAAAGCTAAACCAAGAAGTGTTTTAGCACACCACTTGACGCATCTGAACGAATCACGTTGTCAGAAATTGACACCAGCCAATAAGATTGAGTTTTTTGGTTTAAGACAACCAATCGTGTACTTTCACGATTGGTTGCTGATACAAAGGAAATGACCATATTTGGATCCGATGAGATTGTGCAGGAGAGACGGAGCTTTCCAACAATACCTCTGATTACATGGTCCAAACAGCGGTCGCGGTACTTTATGTTAAGTTAGAATGCTAACTTTTGGTGAATTTAGGAGAAATCTACAGATGCAAATAGACAAACTATACCTAAATATGTATTTTGTACATTTTCCTTCCAAAAGCCTGAAAGAAAACATGTTATGGAATCAAAATAGCACAACATATCAAAATTGACCAGTGCATGAAAAACGATGTTTTTGCCTGCCGTGTCTCGCCTTAATGAGTGAGACACACCGGAGTTGAGGATCTGTGGGGTTTGTATGTCGATGTATGGGAAACACTGTTATTTGTATGACAATTCACTAACAGTCAAATTTACACTTATGGTTTTAATGATGTGGGATGACAGCAAGCACCAGACTATGGTGTTGCATTAAATAACATTAACACTCTCTGTCGACATTGAATCTGCTTTATATGCACTTCTGTTACCTCAAACAAACCTACTACCCATCAGCTCTGACTGCAGAAGTAAAGATGGCTGAGCCTTGGTCAGTGTATGTTTTAGTTATTGGATTTTCTTTTCACAAAAGGATATTAAAAAACAAAAAACGACTGGATGTTTAATTTGTCTTAATATTGAAAAATTTAAAATACAAGGCGTTTTTCTTTATCATGGTCAAAAAGAGATTTACTAAACTTAAAAAACGGGATGATTTTCATTTTCTACTTCTAGTTCCTAGGTACATTTTTCAGCCATTCAGGTTTTGATTTTCATGCCGTTTTGGCTGTGTTGAATGAATATAGCTCAAACTTGCCAGAGGATATTCTTTTTTAGTTGTATTTTGAATTGTCGTCTCAGTTCCTTAAATTAGCCTAAAATGGCTAAGCTACACAAAAACCGACACATTTGTTCCTAGCGGCAGAAAATGACCCATTGAAAACCATTGAAAATGCTTTTTTTGACCCCACATTTATCTTATCATAAAATCTTAAATTCCTTTATGTTAAAGGGCCCATGTCATGGCCATTTCCACTGATCATAATTACATTGTTGAGGTATACTAAAATAGATTTATACTGTGCAATTTTCCAAACTCACATTGGTTTCGCATACAGCATCTCTGTCAAGCATGTGTATTCAGCAGTATTCACTTTCTCCACTAAACGACTCGTTGGAGCTCTTGCCCCCCCCTCCCTGTGAGCCTAGTGTGCTCCGATTGGTCAGCTCGGCCACTCGTTCTGATTAGTCAACCACCAGAGAGGCTGCGCCCATGTCAGTGCTTTTCCCGGCTGCTCTCAGCGTAACATCAGTCTTATCATGGCGTCGGTACAGCGGTATATTTTATATACATATATATTTTTAACTGTTGTTATAGAAGAGTGTGACGGCCTCAGGGCCTTTGTCTTACGGTGGGGTGGAGCTGAAGAGGGTAATCAGCGCGATCACGGACACCTCCGTAGCCGGTGCTATTAATCCCAGCGGCCCGGAGTCTCTCTCCAAAGCGGCTGCAGAAGGACGAACTGAGCGACCCTCTCCCCTCGACCACCTGTCTCTGCATTTACTACAATAAATGTGCCGTGGTTTTGTAAACTCGTGTATGTCTCCTTGTCTTTCCGTTGTGGCCTACGAGCTACTCTCATAACAAAGAGTAAGTTATTTTTACCCGTTATAAACTACTACTGTTTGATGAGAAATCAAATCATGGTTTGCTATATATGAATTCAGGGAAGAAAGGATAGGCCTACTAAGTATTTCCATTAAACTTTATTTTTAGAAATGTACAAAATGAACATAAATATACATATATACACGGTATATCATCCATTCCTCCTCCTCGCATCTTGCCTGCGCACAGTCGGTGCGGTGCCTTTTAGCACCCTCAGTAGTAGTAGAATCCCTTCCCCGTCATGGATTGTCCGCCAGGATCTGGCTGGACGAAATCAAATGCAAATCACAAAATATTAGAGAAACTTAGTTGTTTTAGATTCGTTAGTAGTAGTTGTGTAATGAACAGCTTGCCTGCTAATATGCTAACCTAGCTTTGTTTACCTTGGTAGCTAACACGATATGAACGTTAGCTTGGAGGAAAGGCAACTATAATGCAGTGTAATAAAACTACTATGAACAAAAGCTAGTGGTTCATATTAGGCTAGCAATAACGTGTTTATAATTGCAATCGTATACGGGTATTCTGCTACGTTCGGTCATACAATGTAACTTGCATGAATACATTGTTTTGCGCTAGCATACAGCTAGCCTCGTTAGCTACATGCAGTATATGTACGGTCACAATGTACGGTAAATCACAGTACAGTATACTGTATGAGTATTCCGTGTGTGTGACTGCAGACATTCTCCTGCCATGACAAACATGTAAGGCCATCTGCTGACATTGTAGTTGATATATTTAAACGCTAGCAACGTAGCATCACAAAAATGTTTTTCTGACCGAAACTAGCTCTAGCTCCGTGTGTTAGATCGCTACGCCAGCTATAATGTAATTACGTTTCGCGACTGACCGGCAAATCACCCGGAGTATACTGTCAATAGGTATTTTGTGTGTGAATGCAGACATTCTCCTGCTATGAGATACATGTATGCAAGGCCATCTGCTGATATTAGAGTTGATATATGGAAACTCTAGCAACTTAGTTAGCACTGTGTCAATGGCTTAGCAGTCCAACACAGTTTACACATTTAAACAGTCTTGTTTGATAAATACACAAATAACAATGCAAACTTACAGGTTGTATACCCAGATCTTCCCCTGCTCCAAACGGTCCAAACAAGCTGTGCATATCCGGCCTCAAACTGGGCAATGTTTTGGAAGCTTTCGTCTGTGAAATGCCGGTTCTTCGAACCTCTGGAGGAGGAACACGACGCTGCTGGTGTGGCCATAGCTCTTCGGGATTGGTCCATTTCGTTCCGGGTACCGCATGACATCAGGCGGTACCCGGAACTAAATGGAAGACTCAAATGGGCAGTGACGTATCTCCAACGAGGCGTTTTGGGGAGGTATTTTCTGTGTTAGAGTTTTACTCGCTACAGGGTGTACTTTGAGGGTTTTGACTCTGCACACCGTTTACATGCATAAAAACCTTCATAACACACAAGGGGACGGGTAATAACCGGAAAAGCATGACATGGGAGCTTTAAGATTTCATTTTGGACTACTAGCTTTCAATTTTTAATTTTTTACATGTGTCTACAAGATGGCGATAATTTTAACCCTTTGAAGCATGCACACTTTTTACTGTTTTCTGCAAGGGTGCCTTGCTATTGAAATGATAAGTGTGTGTCACTTTTGATGTTGGATAAGTGTGTGTGTGTGTGTGTGTGTGTGTGTGTGTGTGTGTGTGTGTGTGTGTGTGTGTGTGTGTGTGTGTGTGTGTGTGTGTGTGTGTGTGTGTGTGTGTGTGTGTGTGTGTGTGTGTGTGTGTGTGTGTGTGTGTGTGTGTGTGTGTTCAAAATACTTTTCTCTTAGAAGGCCACACTGCGTAATAATCTAATTCAATAATAAAACAATGAGTTGCGAGAACCAAAACAAAATTGGACTTTGTTTTGGTTCTCGCTCAGGTTGTTTATGCAGGTGCAGCCATGGTTAGAAGTATTAGTATTAGTG